AACAATTTCCTACAACATAAAGGTGCTTAGTGCAGAGCTTGAAAAGCAACATTGTGGGAGAAGAAAAAACTTTTACCCAAACTTACGAATAGCCACTGTGAGCCCGTACACCTTTATATACTTTGGTGCACTTGTTTTACGGAGGCTGTTAATATTCAGTTTTATTTTTCGATAAACGTGAAATAATGTTTACGTTTAGTTATGTTATTTTCATTGAAGTTGAATTGTGCATTGAACTACTTACTGTTGCATCAATCTGTGGAAGGAACACAGACGTCTTTTTATGACAGTTCAAATATGTTCACCCATTCACAGACTCTACCTAGTCTGTCATAGTATCAATGCCTTTTCTGTGGCTAAAATGACCAAAAAAATATTTGTGAGTATATTCCTGACTTTTAAATTACAGTGCCCAAAAACTGTTATGGGGCAAAGAAACACTAATTTGTTACCACGAAATACTGATTTAAGGTATTTAATAGAAGCACAAACAGCTAATTTATTTTTATGAAATACCATGTACACAGTATACTAAATACTCCCTTATACTTGATAAGTGTCTTTTGTGCAGGACTGCCACTCATACAAAATTTGGACGAGAGGTTAGTAACTTGTTGTAAATTTTGGACATATTAAGAAGATATGGACAAGAACAGAATAAGACACTCACCTTGGATTTTTTTTTTGTCAGATGTTTTCCCCCAGGCCTTAAAAACAGCAATTATTAAACTACTGTTAAAAAAGAGCAACCCAGACAAGCTGCTACTGCAGAACTTAAGGCCCATCTCATACCTAGGGATGGGAATCGAAACTGGTTCCTGTTAAGAACCAGTTCCATGTGTTCCAATTCCATGGCACCGTTTGGCAGCTCGCTTAACGATTTTCTTAACGATTCCAGGCAGCACCAGAGCCTAGCGCTGGGCAGTACGACTTACGTCAAGTTTTTTACGCAAGTTATGCACACAGTCAGTAAGCAAGTATGACGTGACCAGGCGTAAGTCGAGAAAAGCAAAACAAAAGCGTTCAAAGGGATTGAAAGATTGGCTTAATTTTAAGGAACAGAAAGATGGAAACAAGGCGCTTTGCAATCGTTGCAAAATGGCAAATACATCCGCAGAAGAAAGTATCCAACATACAGAAACACCTGCGCACACAACATAGCATACATTTTAACGAATGCCGTGTTTTTGATGCCTTCCAGACAGAAGCTAAAGTTACGACCAGCTTGGAAGGCAACTCTGGTGTTAAGTAGCTAGTTTTATATCACTGGCTGTGCTTAATGTGCTCCCTAGTAAATCATATGCTATTTCTGGAAATAAACCAATTTCTTACCTCTCTTTGGGGTTATTAAGGGAGTGTGCCTTTCTTGTTAATCCAGCCCTTCACTGCTAGCATGTTTAATTAGAACTACTGGTAGCTGGAATTCTTACATGATTTAAGCTATTGCAATGGATGTAACGAAACATGCTACGAAGTTGCTCCATAGTTCAGCGAGCGAGAGAAAGGTGACGCTCGTTTATTTAAATCAGGGGAAGATGAGTTTATTTCCCGAAATTCTACAGTAATGCTTTTTCATTAAACGTATGCCTTCTCCATTAGATTTAGATGACTGTGACGAGACGGGTAGCTTGGCTGGCTCAGAGGCTGCCAGCTCCTGTTCACTGCCTTGTGTTTTCGCCAAGGCTGGCAGAAATAGAATGTCCCAGGCGAAGGTAGACGAATGTCACCGTGCACCTACCAAGTTCATTGTTTCATAGAATCGATAAGGGAATTGTGAAAATCTTATCAATTCCTAACCCTACTCACACCTCTCTATCATCAGTAAGATTATCAACATTTAAAGAACTTCACCTAGCAATGATTAGGCACCAGACAGGCTTCTCTAGTGACGACAGAGGCTGTCGTTATCAAAGTGTTCATGACATTCATATAAATGCAGACTATGGTATTAGTACACAGTGCTGCTATTTGGGGACCTTAGTGCAGCATTCCACACTGTTGTAGTGCCTAGAAAACTGGCGCTCTAATAAAAAATGTGGTGTTTTGATGGACTCAGACCTGAGCCTTCCGAGGCACATAAATAAATAAACAAAATCTCAACAAAGCCTTTTACAATATAATGTTTCAGCAGAATTTTAAAAACTAAATCATGCATTCATATTTAGAGGAATAGATTACTCCCAAAATTTCTGGATAAAGAGCTGCACAGACAGTTGAATGCTGCTGCTCATGTTCTCAATAAAACTGAGAAAGTGGAGCACATCAATCTAGTTCTAAAGTCATTACTGTGGCTCCCCATCTCTTAATAATAGTTATATTAATCTATTAATTACTCAATGGCTTACTACCTAAATATATGACAGATTTATAAACTGCCAAGATCTCCAGGGTCTCCTGGTTAAAATGTACTCTGCATACCTAGAACCAAACATGGGGAAGCAGTCCTCATGATCTACTACTGTGGAACATACTCCTAGAAAACTGTAAAAGCACTGAAACCCTAAATAGTGTAAATTTGTTTAGTGCGTTCTTTAACTGTGCTTTATGAAAAACAAAGATGATAAGTTTTGAGTTTAACTTTACCTTTAGTTTTTTATCAACTGTTTAACTTTTAATATAATCCTGTTATTTTATTCATTACATTTTTAGTCTGTAGTTATTAGTGTTACCTTTATTTCATATGAATGTATTTTTTTTTTTATTTCTTATGTGCAGCACTTTGTACTGTATTGCTACTGAAATGCACTCTATAGATAAACTAGCCTTGCGTTGGACATCATGTTCACATACTGAAACAACAATATGTAGCTGAGTGAGTGTTATCATTCTACTAAAGATGTCACACTTAATTGCAGCAGGTTGCTGATGTCTAAACCAAACTTTGTAGGATCTGCAGTGCTGCACAGACAGTATTCAAGTAGAGGGAAGTGGTTAGGGAACAAATCAGTTATTTAAATGCACACTATGTTTCATTCCCCATGTCAGTTCTCTCCACCACACAAAAGTGTTAAATTTTGATGCAAAAACTGCACATGCAATCAGGGTTGACAAATCTCTTTGTGGATGTGAAATATTTATGTGTGAATATCCTCCACATTTGATATCGCTCAATTTGGTCCTTAGGATATTATTAACCTTTCTATAAAGGCACACACACAAATAAGCTTACTTGTGCTTTTGCACTCTTCAGTTGCACATGTAGTTGGATTTTCACCTTCATAATCAGCTGTGCATGTGTTTACGAAATTGCACGTGTTTTAATAAAGGCAAACCTTTTGAAGACCAGGCTCTGTGTTTATCGCTGTGCTAATGAGATATAACTAGTCAAAAGGACTAATAAATTAGATAGTATACATTTGCAACTTTCCAATTTTTGTACATGTGCCACAGCCATGTTGGATTTTGAACTTGGAATTGCTCTGTGATGTCAATCTTTACCAGTTGGAATTTATGGCCCTTACAGAAAGAATGTAAGGCGCAGACAGTTGCGCTTAGAGCATAAAAAATAAAGCTTTCAGCCCTTGCGGTCTGAACGTAGCATTTTTTCATTAAAATAAGCCAAGCCGCTCTCTCGATTCAATCCGCCATTGTTACAGGCAAAGAAAGGATAAGTTAGCCCTGCCAAACGCACACCAGACCCACTTTTTGACCGTGCAGCTAGAGCAGCAAAGAAGCTTCAGCTGCATGTCAAAACTAAACTTCAACATCAAAAATGAAGCAGCAATCGCGTTTTTGCTGCTTCTGCAGCATGCGGTCTGAACATAGCATAAGAGTAGCTCTCAACACAGCAATCTAAATATAACTGTCAAACATAAAACAATTTCAATTCAACACTTCCCCTTACCTTGGCACAGTTTAATTTGTGATTTTCACAATTTTGTTAAGTCCCTCTGCCATTTTAATTTATCCTGCTAAATAAAACATCTGAGTCTTTTTCCTCCAATTTTGAATGAGATTTAGTACAAAACCGGGACAAGGTATGCTAACACCTGACACTGTCTTTGCTTGACCTTTCACGGAAGTTGTGAGTATATTCTAAGTCGTATGGATTTAACTGTGATCTGTGCAGCTGTTAGCTTTACTCATCCATTAGAAACTTTCACTCATCCTCCAAATTGAGTTTACTCTGGAAGATGTTTAGGAAGGGCTAGATGCTGACTTTGCTACCTTTCAGCTATGCAAGAAAAGGTGACGTCTTTACAGTCACCATTACTTCTAAGATGTCAAAAAAGAAGCTACTAAGAGGCTGAGTTGAGGTCCTGTTCCAAAAGCTCTGTATAATCTCTGAGCCATCCAATAGCATGGCAGCAAAATTACAATAACATACTATATTTAGATTTATACAAATTTAATTCAGTCATGAGCTTTGGAAAAATTGTGGTTCTAGTGGTCAAATGAATTTTAGAATTATTTTCTGAAACCTAACAAGGCCAGAAGTGCAGGATCCATTTAAGCCGGGCATACACTGTACGATTATTTCAATCATTGCATGCAGATACAGCTCACACCGTACGACGAAACCGCAGGGTTTAATAGTTCACAGCTCATGATGTATGTTCTCGCACTGTGGGACCCAACACTCTGATGCGATCTACCTGTTCACACTGTATCTCTAAAAACCATGTCGGACTCAGCTCCGCAGTGAGATTGCGCTACTCGGACTCGTCTATCTGGAAGCCAAACGAGTAGAAGAGGAATATGAAGCTCACTAGAGAGAATTGCGCTGCCTTGACAATTTGTGCAACTTTGTGTGCTGAAAGCCCTAAAAACAAAAGGCGACGATGTATTAGAACAAAGACATGGCTGGGCAACACTACGCGGCTACTATGGTCTGTCAATTTTAAAGAAAGAACTCCATTTCCCTCGCAACCCCCGCCATGCTTCTGTGTTTTCCTCTGAGAAGAAGAAGAATCTTTGTTTGCGCATGCCCACTGAGCAATTTGAGCACGATGGCTGACTGAATTTCAAACACAATTTTCTCCCAACCTCACGATTCGGGAAGTGGTCGTGAGTGGCTGATCGCCCCTCGTTACCCCATGTGCACTACACAACGCACGATCAGGCTGAAAGTCTGCCCGATTCGAAAAATTCTCACAGGACTGGAAAATCAACCCAAAAAGGGCAATAAATCATACAGCGTATGCCCAGCTTTACAAAAGTTTTTCAGAGTAAATTTTTTTTCTGTTTATTTTAACCAGATTTAGAAAATATACTGTTATAAAAAATTTGATTGATTAAACTGCCCCATCATTAAATACATTTAGGTGATTAAACGATGGATTTGATAAAGAATCAAAGTCTAGTATTTGCAAATTTTCCCTCAGTTGAAAAATAAAATTATTTAGATTTTACTTCAATCAGCTAATTGTGCAACTTTCAAACGAGATGGCTGTAATATAAAAGGAAGCCGCATAAACTAAAGTAAAATTTTACTAAACCTAAACTAAAAAATATATATATAGCTCAACATGCTTGTTGAAGGCGTCGCCATGAAAGGATATTGTGCTTTGCAAAAGCGTCTTTTTAATACTTTTTTTCCTCAGCTACTGCAGCGGAAATCTTCTTGTAGACAGGGAGAAAAAAAAAAGCTTGAATCCATTCTTTATCCCACTATTTTCCACCACCTCAGTTACATAAACTCATTAGGAACAGTATTGCCGTTGATGTGGCACTGGCTTGTATTTCACCAAACTGTGCAAAAACATTTTGGTGCCCATGTTGGTCCTCTTGCTGAGTTGATTGTCAAGTTCTGTTACAGGCTAAGTTTTAATATGTGCAACAATCTTTAAAATACTTTTTTAATGGATAACGTTGTGAGACGATACGATCTGTAGTCCTTTGTAGAGCTTTGACTAAGCAGTCCTTCTGTAGGAGCCATTTTGATCCACCTTCTTACACTCGAGTGACCATCATGAATTCTGGTCACTTTGGAAGTGGCAGTCAGGATCCAGGGAGTCCCCCATATACCTGGCTGAGAGACTGTGAAAGACAAAACAAACATTAACATTTTTCTAAATTTGCAGATTACTGGTGATAAACATTTAGCATCACACTGTAATATTTCTTTAGAAAATGTTCGTTCTTTTACAGAGAAAATTAGATGACTAATGTCACTTGGATGGGTGTAAGATGAGTGTGATGTGAAGACAGGGCAGCTGGTTCAACTAACAAATGGAAAACTTTGGCGGTTACTGAAAGTTATCCAGGCCAAAATTACAAGTACATAAAGACTTTATTTTAAGTCACCTCTATAAGTGAGTGACAGTAATGATAGTGATATTAGATGAATGGCTCAGAAAGGATTGTTTCTTTCAAAGGAGTAAATTGTACAGGCCTGCTCTGTTCCAGTCCTTGCAAGAAAAAACACATCTGATTATAATGCTTTACAAGGTTAGTGTCAATACTTTAATATTACATAAAAAATATTGATTCACTACCTAGATAATTGTGGTTTAACACCCCTACCCTAACCAAAACCCAATTCAAGACTGTAAGTACTAACCCATCTGAAAACAATGGAAATGAAAATGAAAAATTTTTAAAGACAAAAATGTATGGTGCTATGATTTTAAGGGACATTTCTCAGTGATGGATCAAATAAAGTAATCCTGAATTAATCCCAAAAGCAGCAGGTATGGATTGCTTTTTGCTGGGAAAATTGGGCTGAAAAATGTAATAAAGGTATATCACTCAAAATGAACAATATTCAACAGATTCCCCAAATCACAGGACATCAGAGTGAAATGGACTTCAAATTTGGTGTTACTTTCATAAAAATATATATTTTAAAGCCATTTGTCCAACATTTTATGCTTAGCATGATTAGAATAGTTGTGACAAACCCTACATCAAACTAGATGCAGTCTTATGCATGCAAATACATGTACATGATATATTTGCATAAACAAATGCAGACACCTGAGGCTGTAACAGTGGCTTGAAGTAGCGTTACATTTTGTAACCTTCACATGATTAAGGAGCGGTGCTTCAAAGTGGGCTTGTATACAGCAGCACCTAGCTCCATCACCTCTGAATTTCCTGGGACTTTTTCAAGTGTAGGATGCCTATTGGGACTTGTACCTGCATCCCCACCCTGTCTGCCTGACTTCTCCACAGTGTATAGCCGGTTTGTTGGAAAAAAAAATAAATTGCGTCAAAAGAAGATCCCTTGCTTTGACCCAAAATCATTGTCAAACATGTCTCTGGCTGTAGATGCTTTGGTTGAGTGAGGAAAAGTTGTGGAAATCAATTATGACGCAGTGACGATTACCCAACTCATATAGACTCAAAGGAATGAGCAGAGTTAAATGATAGCAGCAGAACTCTAAACAGTCCTTCACACATGAAAACACAAGTCTGACAGCAAGCTATTATTAGCACATCCAACAGGGTAACCTGACATTACAAAAATGCCTGTGACATATTTTGGGAAAAAGGTAAGATGAGGGGCGGTGTTAGCCTTGTGGGGCCCCAAAAGAACACAAATACTTTATGGGGCGGAGGCAAGGCTAGCTCTGGACAGCAGATCTCTTATGATCTCCTGCTGTTAGCAGAAGATCATAGGATCAGGACGGTAGATCGGAGAAGTCTGTTGGGCAGATAGAGCCCCACAGCATGGATATGCCATTTCCTAAAAAAGACTTTATTTTCTAAGATATGGAGTTTTTCTTCACCGGATATAGTCTGTTCTATTTAATTATTTTTTTTATTTTTTTATTTGTGCACCTGTTTCCTTTTTTTCGCATTTTTGCATTACAACTGGCACAGACTATAAATGGTATTCTTATTTTGTTCTCTAAATGCATACTTGTTTGAACAGAGGGATGTGATGCCATCAGGGGAATCTCGAAGGCTTGACTGTAGAGGTCCTCTTGATATATTTTTTCTTTTTTCTATATTTTTTCTGACTTTATATACAACCTTCTCAAAAAGGAAGACTGGAAATGAGGGTCAGCAAATATGATTCTCCTTTCGGTGTTTTAACAACAGAAAGAAAGACCTTAATATGAAAGGCAGAACTTTGAACAGCTGGAAGGTGTGGCTTTTTTTTATCTCATTAGGTATGACTTTTTTTACCACATTACTTTAGACACGGTTTGACTCAAGATTGGAAGCTAATCCTGCATTGCTGCACTATCACCAAACTTCATATTAGATTGCCCAATTCAAGCATTTAATTACATTAGAAGTCAGTTGTTTTAGTTTTAGGTGTAAAAAGCATTTTACAGCAGGGCTGTGCTGAAATGTTTCTGCATTTGGACTCCACAATTTGATCAGTCTTCCTGTAATCTCGGTGGGTGGAGATAAGACGACGGTGTATTTTAAGGATAGCAAACATTTCCTCTTAGTTATTTAAGCATGAAGAGCCTCTTCACCTGCGTCATCAATCATCCCACATGGTGCATTCAGCAACTTGTATTGCACTGACGCTGTTAGTGAGTCACAGTTCCTCAGTGAAAACTGCATTCCATAGGAGAAGAGCCAATTTAAGGCAAATAGCATCTAAATACTGCTCTCAAGATTTTTCTGTTTTTGCACAGAGACAAGACCACCCTGCCTGGCCATTTTTTTGTTGTTGTTTCTTTTCTTAGATGCCTGATTTGTACTTTTCCAAACCCCTACATTTTTAACCCCCCACCCCATTAAAGTGGTTGCAAGATGTGGTGAAACATTGCTGTTTGATATGACAAAAAAATGTGGCTTGAACAATGAAGGTGGCTGACATGTGGCTAGAAACTTCTCAACCTGTGCTGGCTTCTGCAAACAATGCTTCTGGATGTGATGCAATAAATGATGCAAACTGATTTAGGAAATGATTGGAGGTGAAGACACAGGCACAAACCTGGTCTGTGAGGATTCGTGGCTTAATATCAGGCATGGCACCCCCTCTCAGCTCATCTTCCACAGCCATGAGTCTGACAACAGGGAAATAGAAACAAACAAACCGGTTGACAAAAGTAGAGTTATGAAGCCGGTGTTCTTCAGATATAATGTGATACTGTGCTATAATAATATTAAGATCCTGAAATGTTTGTGGATCTCCTTTCAGTTGGAGAAAATGTAGAATAAGTAGAATAGATATAGAATAATAAGGTGTGTAGTCATGTGAGGTCACTATCTGAAATCATAATTTCACTCAAATATTATTTGGTTCAAATTAACCTTTCCAGGTTTAGTTCATCTTTATTTCCATGTAGTCTATAAATTACAGATTAAACCATATTTTCAGTTTTATCAGTTCTCTTAAACAGATAATTGTGTTTAATAATTACAACATAATCTAAAAGCCATTAAATAAGTCCCACGGATGATAAAGTATGTTCTACATCTTCCTATTATGCTGGTAGAAATTATTTAACAGCATAAACATACAAAGATAAATGAATAACAAACAAAATATGAAGTTAATTCAAATCCTCACTTAAAATGAATGAAAATGTAAAAAAAAAAAAAAAAAGATATTTTCTATTGGATATTTTTGATTGTTGCTGAGATGCAAGTGTTCTTGGACAGGTTACACAAGAGTATTCAAAGTCTTTGAATTTTTGTGTAATAGACAAACATTAAGCAAGAAAGAACTTCAAAGTGGACACACATTAAAAAATGTCTTTAACAAATAAAGAGTGTTAGGTGCCTTTGCATTTAAGGTATAGTGGAAGATGTTCTTTTTCTGGGTGGATCATCTAAATAAGTGGTCCTCCAACTTGTCAATCTTTTTGGTGATATGTTTACATAAGGCCGTCCTACTTGCTTGTCCCCATTTTCACTTACAGGTGGTGAGTCTAACATAGTGGAAAATTGCGGATCTTTTTTGAAAGTTAGCTTGTATGAGCGATGCAAACAGCAACTTTTAAACAGAGGAGAAATGGGCTTGTGCACGCTCTCACACGCGCTTAACAGGCGTTCCCTCTCGGGAGCGGGTACAGGGTGTTAGGTTTCTGTTTCTGTTATGTTTTTCTTTTGCTCCTTGATTTCTAGTATTTAGCTTTCTTTTCACCATGTTTCTTAATCCTAGTTATTTGATTATTATTTTGTTGTTGTTTTCTTATTAGTTCCTGTCTTCCAGGTTTTCCATTTGTTGTCCTCTGCTGCCCTCTTGTGTCCTCTTTCTCTTGCTCTGTTTTCTCTTCAGCCCTCACCTGTTTTCAATTTTCTCTTTAGCCCTCTCCCTGTCTCTGTCCCCTTTAAAAGCCCTCCCTCTTCAGTTCCTGTTTGCTGGATCCTCGTCTAACCTCTGGTCAATCGTCTGTCTGCCTTCCTCGTCTCTTCCTGGTTCCTAGATTTTGGTTTTCCCCTGATGTCTCCTAGGTTCTGGTTCGTGAGTTATTTTTTGTTCGATTTTTTTATTCCTGCCTCAGTGCCTGTGAACCTTATTAAACCACTTAAATTCACCTCTGCCAACTCGTCTCTGCATTCGGGTCCTCCAAACCAAAACCGCTTTCTGACACAGGGTCGTGCATGAGCTTTTTTTTTTTAAATGGAGAGGGCGGGTCTTTTAAAAATTCATGAAAATCCTCCACTATACCTTTAATTACTTTTGAGATATTACTTTGCAGAACCATATTTATACGTAATTACGGCCTTATATTTTTAGGGGCTTGTCTCTAGGAGCTCTTTACTAAAACAGTTTGAAAGGCGAAGCTCTGCCAAAGCCACACCTCCAACTAGTGAAACATCCCCACAGCATAATTCAGCCATCACTATCTTTCACTGTGTTTTTTTTTTTTTTTTTTTCTGTGGTTGATATTAAGTGTTTGCCACCAAATATATCTTTGCATGTAGGCCAAAACGTTCAGTTTTGGTTTTGTCTAGTCAGAAAACTGAGCTTTTTCCCCTGTTACACCCCCAAAAGGCCAGACTCTACAGAGAGCCCGAATTGTTGCTTTCTTGTCAACAATCTTCTTCTCCCACTGAATAGTGCATTTTAGTTCCTTAAGAGTTGCATGTTTCAATTATTAATGCTCCCCTTACACATCCTGTCAGATTAAGTGGATGACCATGTCCTTGGAGGCCTGCACGTGTACAATATTTCCTTTTTTTTCCAGATGATGGATATAGAAGTGCCTAGAGATGTTCAAAGATTATTATATCTTTTTATCATCTAAACCTCCTGAAAAGGACATTTCATATTCCTTCCACCTTAAAATTAAGCACTACATCATGTTTATTTCATAAAATCCAAATAAACACATTATTTGTGATGTAATATAACAAATCTAAAAAAAAGTGAACACACTTCTACAAAATATTGTATGTTGATGTTTTTATCTGTAAAATTTGTGTAATACAGTTTTTGATACTCTTGTAACAAATAGTTATAAATAAAGCAATTTTAACATACTTTTACTCAGTTTTCTTCGCATAGGGCAAATCACAAGATTTGATTTGCAAGATCATCTCTTTTTTCAGTAAAATTAACCTAATATTTTTTTTTTTTTATACTGAATACACAAGCACAGCACAAAAGGTGTAAAAAGGTTAAATGACTTTGTAACTCATTTTTGAATGTAAAATTAATATATTCTCTATGGAGGCTCTGACTCCAGCTGTTCTAAATTCTTATATCAATTTTGCTCGACAGTTCTCTACATACTGGATAAACTTTTTGGTGATGCACCTTTTTCTATACTTTTTGTTTTCTTTTCTTTTCATTTTTTTCTGAATATGCTATAACTTTTTTTGCAATACTTAAACTGTGAATATAGTCACCCATGGGTGACTGATTGTTTGGTTTTCATGATCTGTAAGCCATGGTTATCAAAATTGAAAGAATACAGATCTGAACATTTTCATGTTATATGACGTATTCATGAATAATTGAGGTTAATTTTCTATCACCAAGATATTCTATTCATAAGACATATTTGTGTAAAATACAATGTACAAAATCTATGTGAATAAATGTTTATAAATGAGTTATCATAAGATGTTGGACATGCAATTTCATTTGGCCTTCTCTGACATGCCATTAGCTCCAAAACTCAGGTAAAACTTGACAAAAAATGTTTTATTAACATCTGTACAAACAGCTTAAAGCGCTGTTATATCTTTTAGCTGTTTCGGTGAGTGAAAAAAACTTTTTTAGAGAAAAGACAATCATTAAATTGAGTACAAGATAACTGAATATCTGATAAGACATGGACATGTACCTAAGCTGACAGATTGGGTTAAGTTTGCACTATTTAGAGAATAGACTCATCCTAACTGTGCAGAAGCTGCAGAAATGGAAAGACCTGAATTTTAAGGCATGCAACTCACTCCATGTCTTTATGTAGTGCTGATAAACAGTAATATTGTGGTAATAAACTAAGAAAGTTTTTAGATGTCTTGTTGCAAGTAGTTCAAAATCTATATTTTATGTTACTAAATTACCATTTAGTATGTTTTTATATAACATTCCTTTTTTATTATTTTGCGTTATGTGAATCACTAGTTCAATGTAACATTGCGTTGAATGGAAGGGTATGTAAACTTTCAAGCAGAATGAAACCCTTGCCAATGTAGCTACCAGACTTTAGACTGGGACTGAGGCTCTGAAAAACATCAAACAACCAGAGCTATAATGGGATGATTTCATTCATAACATATATTCAGTGTAAAAATTGTGCATCACTCTGTGTTGCACTATTACATAAAACCCAACAGGAAAACTTAAAAGTTTGTGTTTGTAATTTAACTGTGTTGCAATAATATGACATCAACAACGCACCCAAGTTACATTATTTTATGCAATCCATTGCAGCTGCTGTAAAACAAGCTTTAACTCAACCAGCTCTGGAGATGAGGCTTCAAACAGACTATCAGAGCTGGCTTCTAGTTTCACACACAATATTTCTCACAATTATACATCTACATACAAACCATCCTTGAGACAGACACGCCTCCATTGCAGACTGCCTAAAGTCTTCCACTCTCGCTGATACACCAAAAGAGAAAAGTTATTACAGCTAAACGCACTTACATCCATCTTATGAAGCACTTCAAAGCCATCTGATCAAAGCCAGCTTCCCTTCCAAATTTGATCCTAATTAGCTTTTCAAGAGGACAAACAAATTCACAGAAGAAGCTCCTCAAGCTGTGTTTACTGTTGCGGGAGCATTGCTGCAGTCAATGCATTGCAATGACTGTAGCTTAATATTTGGCACCATGATGTGAAACATTTCTATGGGTAAAACCACTGATTGCTGATACATATCAGTATGTATCAGCTGACCGCTTATACATATTCAATCTATCCAAGAGACAACATTTATTTTACAGAGATGAGGTTAAAAATCAAATCTCCTAATTTAACACCTCTACCTCCTAAAGACATTGAAATTATATCAAATTTAAAAAATAAAAAGCAAATCTCCTTCCTAAATCTAATCTAACTGTTCCAGATGTTGCATCAGGGGGGGATTAACCATTTGGCAATACTAGGCTTTTGATAGTTCCTGGGGGTCCAATAAAACTCTGTTTACCTGTAAGGTTAAAACAACTATTCCTTATTTGTGCACATTAAGTTGCTAGATTGCCAAATCTAGCACCTTTTTTCTGCTACTGGAGGCTTTGGCGACAACATATAAAGGCATTGAACTCTGCCCTCCAGAACAAGTAGAATGGTAACCCCGCCTCCTGCTCTCCTCTATTTTGTCTGCTTCATGTATCATTTAGCTATTATTTCATACAAATGAAAAATGGAGAACATATAAGCACACCATGGCTTGTCTACAGTGAAAAGAAGGACTGGGTTATTTAATTTTGCCGTTGTCTCTTTGGAAACACAGGAAGGAGCGAGTGAGTGAGCTTAGTGCTTGGAAAAAAATTTTCATTCCTTTTTTGAGACAGCATGAAAAGTCAGCTGAGTACAAAACATATAGAGAAAAACAACAAGAGAAGGGGGAAAAAAAGAGGGACAAAAACATAGAGCAAATATTGTATGTCTATTCTATTTAAATTTCTGTATCTGTATAATGGGTCTGTTTTATGAATTGTCTTCTCAATATCAGAGGGCCCCCTGCCTGTCTTTGCATAGAGCCCCAAATTTCCTAAATCCGCCCCTGTTTTGCGTACATCTAAATACCAGATCAATTCAACATGAATAATTGCAAAAAGAAGTGTGGATTTTTCTATTTCCTGAGAGGAACAAAAAATCGAACCATTCTTCCCCTATATGAAAACATAACTGTCCCCTACTATTGTTTAAACTACTGTTTAAACTACTGCTTAATAAGCAGAGGGGGGGAAAAAACATGAAGAAACGAGAAAAAATACAGAAATATGAACCTCGGAGGCTAACTGCAATAAAGCAAATATAATATGAAACATTTCTGTATTATCAATGTTTTTATTGATCTAATGTCATTTCTAATCTTAAGTCATGTCTTTATTAGCTGCAAGCAGAAAATCTTTACAACTAATGTAATAATTCTGTAGAATGTGTTTAACTTAGTAAATTAAGTCACAGAAATGAATTAATTTTTCGTAATATCTTAACAGATTTAACAGAACTAAATATTTTCAATTCATTCATTTTTACTACCATCATATAGCAAACCTGGGCTGCTTTTAAAGACACAGATGATGCCCTCAGCCTTTCATACCAGCCTTTGTCAGGTATAAAAAAACTTTCCCAGCTTTCTTCATCTCTGCTGACCTCTCCTGGACTGAACTCATAAAAACAGCCTTTTATAGGACATTCGACTCCATTTACAGGAAGATTTTTAATAAGAACGAACCAAAGATAACTGCTGATGGAGCTCCACTGATTCTACATCATGAATGTAGCAATGACCTTTAGCTGCACGGAAGCAGAAAGCAAGAGGCTTCGGATGATCACAAACTTGCCTTTTCTTCTCTTCTCCTCTGCCTCAACAAGGCTCACGTATAGTTTCCTCTTCTACTACTGGCAGGTATTGCAGGTTCAATAAGGCCCTTTATCTATGTCAAACACTCATCTTTTTTTATTTCTACCCATATTAGGATTTTACATCGACTGTTATTTATTTTTTAGTTGTTGCATATATATCCCTTACAGTATCCTTAACATTACCTTACCAAGCTTTATTATTTACATAAAGTTAACATATGCCATACTTCTATGACAAATGAGGCTCTGCCACATTGGGGCCAGACTTTGGTCTCCATAACATCTGCAGTGTGGAGGACCAATCCTGCAACAGCTACATAAAGAAAACATAAAGATACATAAAGAAATACATTTTTTTTTCTTTTTTTTTTTGATCACCGAAATACATGTTTTTGCACCCTTTACCATATTTTTTTATCAGTTTAGGATGTTTTTTATTTTTAATAACTATATTTCCTAATCTAAGTATTTTCACAGCAAACAGTTTCTCTTAAGCTATTTATTTCCGCCTGTCTTTTTTCTGCCACTCGTTTTTCCGCCTCCTGTATTTCCTCTATGTGCAGCATGTTAAAAAAAGTAAAAAAAAAAATAAAATAAAAAAAAGCATAGGGCTTTGAAGCAGTGTCACAGCGGCAGCTTCTTTCCTATTGGCTGAGGTTAGTAGCTGCTGGTGGCTGACTGTAGTAGCAACTGGAAACTGTTCTTGCTAATTAACTTTTACAGATGTAGCAGTTGAGTTACAGTTACTGATCTCAGCCAATAGCAAAGAAGTTGCAATGTTGACCGTAGTGTTTTAAAGTCGGCCTCTCTGTTTGTATATTTACAGCCGCATATGGAGGAGAAACAAGAATCAGAAACACGGGAGGTGGAAAAACTAGTGGCAGAAAAAAGGAGAGGTAGAAATAACAATGTAAAGGGTTGAAAAACATGTTTTAAACATATTTGGATAGTCAAAAAATAAGAAAATCAAAAGGGTTAGGAAAAATAAAACAGCACTAAATTTACTTGAAATAAATAAGGAGCTAAAAACATTCCAGTAAAAGAACCAAAAAAAAAAAAACAAGACTCAATATTGATTGCTTAAATAAGAAATTAGAAGAAAAGTGCAGAGATGAAATGGAACAGCAAAAATAAAAGATATATAATTTGACACAAAAAGGTGTACCAGAGTATATTGCTTGTATTCTGATATATTGGTATGCTCAGCAAACACTGCAAATTAAACGTGGGACTGTTTATAGACTCCATTCAGAGTTAGTTATGGGGTGAGGCAAGGTGGGATTTTGTCTCCAGTTCTTTCTAATTTGGAACTGGATGAACTATCACCAAGTTGGGAGGTTGTAACTCTATTTACCCTGATATATGCAGATGATTTAGTATTATTTAGTCCAAGTACTGCTGGGTTACAGCAACTACTTAAAATCTGTCCTGAGAATGGTCTGGAACATGACATTAAGTACAATCCATCTAAAAGTCATGATCTGTAGCAGTAAAGAAGATAAATCCATTCAGTTTCCAGATTGTCAGCTGTGCTGAATACTGTGCTGGGTGTTACAACTAAAACCAAGTATCTTGGGCACATCATCACAGAGAATCTGTCAGATGATGACGATATCTATAGACAATGTAGAATGCTGTATGCTCAAGCTAATACCCTTGCTAATAAATTTGGTGCATGTACTGATGTAGTTAAAGTGGAACTATTAAATATATATTGTACCTTTCTGTACACTGCTCCCCTGTTATCTACATATAAAAAAAACAACCTGCAAAAGCTACAGGTGGCCTATAATGATGCTTTGCGGGTACTTGTGAAATGGCCAAGATGGACTAGTGCGAGAAAGATGTTTGTCACAGCAAGAGTCAATAATTTACATGTTATTTTACTACAGCTGATGCATCATTTTATCTGTAGGATAAAAGCATCTGTCAATTAAATTATCATGTCACTAATTGACACCACATGTAGTGCAATACGATACCAGTCTAAGCTGTGGAGACACTGGTATTCCTGTCTCCTTAAAGCTTATAATTGATAATTGGTGTTTTTTGTTTTACTTAGTCTTTTTTATTTTATTGTTTTATTCTTGTCTTAGTCTGTCTATCTATCAAAATAATGTATACATTTTAAAAATATCTCTAGTCTTTATCAGTTTGTTGCAATTAATGGCTCACTAATTTAAATTTTAAGCCATTATTTCACCGACCTTATATATTTATGAGTCAGTTATTCATTTATATGTGTTTAATTATGTCAGGAGTGGTCCTCCATACTCCAAAAATATGAAGTCAGCCGTTTTTCTCAGATTTATGTAATTGAATCCCTTCCATAAAATCTCCAATCATCATTTTTGCATACCCATATTGCTATTATGTATGTTTGCATCAAATCAAAGGGAAATATTTAAGTTTTATAAGGTCTTCTTGCACGAATAAAGGGAGCAATAACAGAGTTTCTGCAGGAGTAAAATTAGGGGTGCACAGTATATCTGCATTAACATCAGTATTTGCTGATATTAGTCATTTTTTAAATACATTTGTATCCTTCTGTTGAATAAAACTATATTAACCACCAATATTTACTATTATCTTTTTGTTTCTGTATGTCTTTCAAGAAAGGCATGTTAATTTTGGACAAAGTGTGATTTGTTTGGACCTATTAATGATTATGATGCAGCACAGGATTATTCTAAAGTAAAGAAAGGATGCCAGTGGTGAGGTCATTTTTGCTACAATAGAAAAATATGTGAAATACATAAAATCTGGGACTATCAGCTATCATAGCAATATGCACACTGGTGCATCCCTAAAAACACTTTTTTAACCATCTTCATTGTAGTTAGAGACAGGAGGGATATTTCTTGCATTTTAACTTGACTAATGAATGTGTGATACTCATCTGAACAGCTTCGTTTTTTTTTTTTTTTGACAAACAAGAAAAAGAGAAAGCCAGGCTAAATTGATCACCTGCTGATGATCCCTGTGATTTGAGAGTCCTTCTCCAGTTGCTGCTGCTTTAGGCGCCGCTCGCTGTCTTCCAGGCGACACTGGTACTGCTGCAAGATCTTGCTGGTCTGCTGCTCCTGGCTCAGAAGCCTCTGCTCATACTCTTCCAGTTTGCGATGCGACATCTTCAGCCGCTCCTTCAGAGAGTGAATTTCCTCTTCATATTCCCTTACCTGAAAGGTGAACAAATATTGTAGTCATGCTTTTCCCAACAGTTCTGGGAAGTAAGAGGTTTGCTACTTGCAAGGTATTTGAAAAGTACTCATGCTACTAAGACTTCTCAAATGCTTTGTCTTATGACTGCAAACTAAAAAGTTTTTTAAGGTTTTATTGATCAGTTTTACATATTTCTTTTGAGTCTATATGCTGACTATTAATTTGCCAGCTATTTTCTATGTTTTAAAATAAATTTCCCTTTCTTTGAGAATTTTTTTTTATACACAAATCCACGCTTCTCTGAGATTTCTTTTCAAAATGGCAAATGTCCGTCATTTGAATGGTAGTTTCTTGTTCCTGACTGAGTAATTAATAAGGTACAACTTGGGGTTTATTGGGGAAATTAGTTTAACCCTCCCCCGAAGTTACACCGTTAATCTCCAGAGGGGACAGATAGGGTTGTCTGTAATGGATATACAAGTCTTGGAGTTCTGGGTTAAGCTAAAGGAGAAAATAGAGGTTCCTTTGCTGTAGTTATAGTTTTTCTAGCTATGATTTAAAGGGATTCCCATATTTTTCCCTCACTTTTCATACATCTGGAAGTAGTTTTAAGGGTATAACCCTTGGAGTAGCCTTTTGTTTGGTATTAGGAGATCCCATGCACTCTATTACGCTTGATGCAATTAATGCCCAGCTAGCATATATAGAATCTCTAGAGTAGTGGGTGTCAACTACAGCTCCTTTCAGAATTAGCTGATTAACAACAGCACACAAGGGCTACATCTGATAACAAGGAATAGCCTTGGTCCTAATATGATGAAAGAGATGGTTGATAACAGGTATGCATAAGCTCTATCAATTCTAATAATAATTTTTGTTGATTCTCTGTAAAATTGTTTCAGTCAATTTGGAGGTGCAGAACTAGCTCATCTATCTGTGCTTTTAACAGATCAATATGTTTTGGTGTAAAGCTTTCTGTCATAGATTTGGCAGGATGTTTAAAATTGTTCTTGCTTGAAGAAAAACCAACCAAAAACCAAAAAGGTAGCACCATCTAGCCTTGCATCATCCCTTAACTACTTCTCTGCTCCTGCTCAAAAAAAAAAAAGTGCACCCTAGAGCCTGATGCTGCCAACACCATGTTTCACTGTGAGGACGTTTGCGTGGCTTTAAAGGATTACAAAAAAACATAGAAAATTCTGTTCTAGATACCTCCCCACTTAATAATGTGCTGTTTTATGTTTGTCCATCACCTAAAATTACACGTTTAAATACTGTTGTTGAATGCTGCATAAGATGACATTGTGATCAGTGAAAAAGATGCTGACCCTTTCTAGTCGTGACTCATCCATACTCTTAGAGTACTCTTTTAGCTGGCCCTCGCGGTCCGGCCGCAAGCTCTCGATGTCCGCAGAGAGGTGTGGCATGTTGGACACCCAGGCAACTGTCCGCTCATTCATTCCCTGGCTGTTACCCTAAAACAGCAATTGAGAAGAGAAATGATTTGAAATAATGTGTTACAAATTTTACTCGCTCTTTATATGTTTATAATGTGGATCTTATAATAAAGAAAGCTTCTTCAATTTTTATCTGGAGTGAAGAGATTTGCAGCGCTCACCTGTTTGTTTGCAACCGGTTTCAGCAGATGCTGCTGTGGCGGCTGCAGCTGTGACTGCTGAGATTTCTTGGTACTTTTCGTGGGCGTGTCTGTAGACTCCTCTGCAGCTGCTGATGGAGCCTGGTTTTCTTTAGCAGAGCTTGTCTGGAAGGGAAGTCCTGGAGCTGGACTGTCTGTGACAGACAGCTGTCCATCCTGCTGTACCGGTTGCTGTTGTTGCTGTTGTTGCTGCTGTGTCGTTTGCTTCGTTGGGCGGGATTTTGGCTGACTGCCACTGAAGCTTGGATCCGAGGAATTAAGGAGGAGGTTCCTGCTTTGTGGACGAGCCTTCGGAGGCGTGGCAGTGGCCGGAGTGTTAATGGAGCGCTGGGACTTGAGGTGTTGCGCGGCGATGGATGACTGGCGGGATGGATGAATGGTCGTTGGAGGTGTAGCCAGGGAAGCAGGAGTCCCTGTGCCTGTGCCAGACTGAGATGTGACTCCCATCAGATGGTGTTGCTGAAGAGACTCCTGAGAAGAAAGAGTTGCAAAGAAACAGCATGAGTCAGTTTGAACTTGTTTCTAAATACTATAAACAGGAAATAAATAACTGAATAAATATCTTAAAATTATTTGTAAAAGTACAGTATGAAACATATCTGATTTCTGGTGAGGAAAAAAGTTAATTAAAATCAATAAAATAATTTTAACCTCATTCTTCCCAGCTTTTATCATGCCGATTACTATCTGCCTCTTTTTCAGTCTCCACCAGATTTTCTCATAGTTGCCCTCTTGAGCTTCACTCCAGGGACTTTGTGCAGCACCTGCCTTCCTGTGCTTGCCCTACCCTCACTGTATACTCATATGCTTCTAATACAGGTCAAGAAATGCTCTGCCTGTCACCACCCAGCAGCCTGTTCAGGCAGTCACCACTCTGTTAAGCTGTCCTCTGCTTTCTCAAAGTTCGCCCCTGGCTGTTAGCCATAATCCATCTACTCAAGCCTGCAACCATCCAGTTCAGTCTGATACTGTATCAGTTTATAAAGCCATTATCCGTCTTCTAAAGCGTGCTTCCCTGTTCAGCCAGCCATCAGCCAGTTCTACCATCATTCCCCTTTTCAGCCTGCCACTAATCTATTCAACTTGCACAACACCATGTCTGGTTAATGATCAGGTTCTCTAAAGCCTCTTGCAACATTACCTTTTTTTAACCTCAGACTTTAAATTTAGATTTCTACCAAGCGTTGAAATGGGAGTTACCTTAATAGTAAAATCCAAATAGCTGTCAAAGATGTTCAGAAAAAACATGTTACAGAAGCTCTGTACTATTTGCAATCAGATCTTAAAATAATTTGAAATAGTTTCAAATTGGAGGTTATCCATTACACTGCCCAAAAATATGGCCTGCCTCACTGTTGAAGCTAGGTTTTTTAATAGTAGGTGTTATCGATGAACTATTTTTAAATAACCTTAAAATAGCATCCCTTGATCTAAACAGGTAACTGGTTAAGAGGGGGGTGACAGTGGCATCGGATGCAGGAATTTGCCCTGCAATCGGAGGCTTGTCGGTTTAAGCCCTGGCCCCGGCTTTCAGTATCGTTGTGTCCTTGACACTTCACCTGCATTGTCTGAATAAACCATTTCTAGACCAGCGTTGTGACCATGTCAGGGTATGGTTCACTGATCTATTTCAGAGTCTGAGAAGGGTTCACAATAAGGTGATTTGCCCCAGAAACTATACTGGTTTGGTATTAAAGGACTATCAAACTACCGATTGCGAAACAACTGAGTTGAATAAAACTAGATGAACATGAACATCAGAAATACTTACCTAAGAAAGTAAAATATTACCTAAAAAATGTTTAAAAAAATGTTTTAAACCAATTAACCAGTGATGCTGTTTTCTTTTTGATTTAGCTTTAAACAAACAAAAAAAGACAGTGATGCTTGATGTCAAACACTGGATCAAAGCTTCAAAATGCATCTCACGCAAGTTACTCCAAATGAACTTTTTTACACAAAAAAAAAAATAATTTTTTTTTGGAATGTGTTGTTTAAAGAGCATAGGGGTATTTTTGGGTGGTTCGCTATAAATAAAGGACTTTCCAGAGAAAACAAGAGACACTATTGTGTAATAATTATTTTGAAACAAGTAATGTTCAATAGGACGTCATGCTTTTTCAGTGATTGTATGATCAAGAAGATTTGCTCCATCCTGGTTGTATTCAACTTATGTTTTTGTGCATTTTGCTATTATTTTTCACAGTCTATTAATACATCCACCAGACGGGCAACATCTCTTCATATCTTAGATATTTCACCTGTTTATGAGATGCTCACACCCTAAGCTACCTCCAACTGACACCTTCCATCTGTTCAAGAATCTCAGTTAATGACAACTGGGTCAGCAGATGCTCCTGGAGACACGACCTTCCAGATTTTCTTTCTATTTCAAGCTCCTGATCCTTAATAATCATCTCCATTTTCTTTCAATATTTGATGTCCTTTGCATATTAAGGATAAATGCAAAGCAATTTGCAACATTCTGTTTCGATTAGCTTCCTAAATAACAACAATCATTTGTGAGGGATGGATAGATTAATTATTAATTCCTAAAGCTCTTCTCCTGAATGCATCATCTGTATAAATAAGCAGGTGGTTTGTGATGTTTGTTCCATTAAAGCCCACGCAGCGGGACCGAAATAGCTCAAGTCGACACGACAGCATCATTAAACACTGTAATTTTACATCCACGCCCCATAGTAAACTTATCAGCCAGATGAATCAATGGCCCGAGTCCATTTGAATCGAGTTGCAGTCACCAAGCTCATTTAAATATGCACCAGAAAATACAAGCTTCTTTCGCCTCCATTTAATTAAAGCTGTTTAGATTGAAACATCTCCTTTGCTTCTTTGAAGATGCGCTGCACCACATCTGCAGGACACACGTGGCTAAGACAGATACTGATTATGTGCAGCATCAGCAGCTCTGACTTTTTTTTTAAGACAGGCACAGAGCGGGGTGGCGGAATCATCTGGATTCAGAGGTTAGTCTGCAGCGGAATGAGTGCCCCTTACTTTACTGTATCATTTGCATATTACACTGCTCCATCAAAGGCCCCAGATTTAAGAATTTCACTTGCTTCGCTGCTGATTTTAGTGACTAAAGCAAACTAAAACAATTAAACTATACGTATAAAATTTGTAATAGAAACAGAAAACCATTCACGTAGAGTTCAATAGGTGCTTATTCACTTCCCTAAATTGAGAAAGACAGATTCAGAACATTTTGTAGAGGATTATGGATCCTCTAATCCATCATTCTTCATTTATCCCATGTTTTTATGTGTTATAATAACATGGACTAAAAGGCCAATAAACAACGAAGAAGCCATTGATCTTAAGACAGATTAGAGCTAATAAATGAACTCAAGAAAAAAAAAAATTATGAAATGTACAGAGATACATATAGAATGAACAGTTGAAAGGCTGAGGACAATGAAAATACCGTGATATACGGGAGTGTAAAGTACAAGCACTGTAACAGCGTGATGTGTGAGGTTTTGCTGAGCATTTTACAAAAAATTAGATTGCATTAAAAGGAGATATCTTCTATGTAAGCATATGAAAGCAACATCTAAAGATGTCAGAGCTAAAGCATGGACACAAATGGATCTTCAAAAATCATCCACGACATGACATTTTTTCAAAGTGACTTACGGACAATAAATTCAATGTCGTAGAGGGGCTATGATAAAGCCCTGATCTTAGCCCAGGGACTTGAGGGCAGAGCTGAAAAGATTTATGTGCAAGGATTTTTATAGAACTGACCCAGTTCCAACAGTTCGATGAGTCAAGTTGTATAGAAGATGCAAATCATGCGGCACTACAGATGTAAATACCCATCTGAATTTTTAAAAAAAACAGCAAAGAATCTCAATGCATTGGTATTTAACAACCCGCTGTGATTTTGGAAAACTAACCCAAAATAGAAAAGGTTCAGTCCAATTTATTGTAAAACAGGAAGAAGAAGAAGGTTTGCATATTCTAAGTTTATGCAAAATCTTGTTTCAACTGTAGATTTATCACATATAGAAAGATGCATTTGATGCATTGATAGTTTTCCAAATATTACATAATAATTTGCTGACCTCTGTTATCTCACAGAATCTAAATAATTTTTCGGCTTTTCTTATTCTTTAAATACATGTTTAATTTCAAGTTTGCAATAATTTGCAATAATTTCATCTGCAATCTCTTCTTCATCTGCAATAACATTTTAAAGAAGAAATGTAAACACATTCATGGCCTTAAATGACATTTTTTTTAAGCATGAAATCAGTTTCTACCTGTACTTGCAGAGACAGCTGGTGCCAGGCATAGTCGTTGTTCTGATTCTGCCGAGTGAAGTCGTCACTGTAGCTGTGGGAGTGAACGATGCTGGGCTGCACCAGGCTGCTCTGTGACTGCAGGGCAGAAAGGTCCTCACTGCGGGAGAAAGCACTGTTGCCAAAGGCAGGTGGGTAGTCAGGGTGGCCGTTTTCAGCCTCAGGGGTCAGGAGCAGAGGAGGAGGGATGGCGGCAGGGGGAGGAGCTTGGGACTGAGCCGGGGAGTTCTGGGCAGCCAGATGGAATAGTGGATTCTGGAAAGACAAGGGGAAATGCATGGCTGCAGCTGCCTGCTGTTGCTGCTGGGAGATTGATTCTGTGGGAGCTCCTACGTGGCCCATCTGGCTCAGTCTAAGGCCAGAACCGGATGAACCCGGGGGCAAGTGACCCCCCATACGCAGAGGAGCGCCCAGGTTCCCAAAGCTGTGGCCGAGGCCAGCAATGGAGGCCTGAGAAGAGGCTAGCATGTCTCCAACAGAGTTTAGGTTGGAGATGCTGTTCATTCGAGAGTCCTGAAGGTCCATCATGGAGACACTTTTGTTTACACTGTGGACCTGAGAGAAAAACAGAATCATACTTAGTTTCATCAACAGAAGAAATATTCTCTATTAATTCTCACATGCTTATTTTTATAAATATATTTTTTTATATAATTAACAAACAAATGTGCAGTTATATAAAATACACTGAAGACATTAACGTGTCTCTGCTTTTTGCAGATGAAGTGATTCTGCTGGCTCCCTTCTGCCAACACCTAAAGCATGCACTGGGAGGGTTTGCAGCCATCCAGGATGAGAATAAGCTCCTCCAACTATGAGGCCATGGTTCTAGGCCGGGAAAAGGTGATTTGTCCCCTCCGGTTGGGGGAGATTTCAATGTATCTTTGGGTGATGTTCACAAGTGAGGGGAGAATGGAGCGGGAGAACGATGGATGGAACGGTGCGGCTACTGCTATAATGCAGATGCAGCATTGGTCTGTTGTGGTGAAGAGAGAGCTGAGCGAAAAGGCATACCTCTCGATTTACAGGTTGGTCTACGTTGCTACCCTCACCTATGGTCATGAAATCTAGATTATGGCCCCATCCACACGAAGTCAAAACAAACACGAAACGCTAATATTTTCCAGAACGTTTGTCGTAAAGACAGAGACGTAAAATAAATGTGATCGTCCACACGAATCCATGAAAACGCTGCAAAATCTATGCCAGGCCTGTAAGTGGCGCTGTGGTGCCAAAGCAAAAATAGGCAAAAACAGGCAACGAAATGTTGGGCATGCGCACTAATATTTATACATGGTTGCCCTGCGGGTCCATGTTTGTGGTTCAGTCAAATTCAGGTGCTGAACTATGTCGTCGATATTGCTCTGTTCTTCCTGGAGATATTCCAGAAGAAGAAGATTCTGTTGTAAGCCCGACAGCAGGGTGAGTAGCATTAGCAGCAACCATTCAACACAGTACGGCGCCATTGTTGTTGTGATACTGTGTCGCGCATGCGTGTTTAGGGGCGACGCTATGACGCATGCGTGTAAGAAAAAAAATGCGGTTAGAGCTTAAAGATGGAAACGCGAAAACGGCGTTTCAAAATCTTCCCACTCTGAAGGCTTAATAAAAAAAAGTTCATTTACAGACCCCGTCTGTATGGATGAGAGGCTGGTTTGGTGAAAAATTTGTGCGTTTAGGCCAGGGTTTGACTTCGTGTGGACGGGGCCTATGACTCAAAGAACGAGATCTTGGATACAAGCAGTTGCAATTAGCTTTCTCTGCTGGGTGGATGGGCTCTCCCACTGAGATAGGATAGGTCAGGACCTCGGCCTTTTGGGAGGGCCCCGGAGTAGAGCCGCTTCTCCACATCGAGAGGAGTCAGCTGAGGTTGCTGGGACATCTTTTTCAGATGATCAAACCCCCCCACCCACCCCCCCAAGTCTGTCATCTAGCCTGGGAGCACCTCAGGCTTCTCCAAGAGGAGCTGGATGAGCTGTCTTGGAAGAAGGAGTCTCTGTCCTGCGATCTGGTCCCGGATGAAGTGGGAGATGAAGCATCTGAGGACGTTGCAGCTGATAGTTGTGCCATTTAAAAAGGTGATAATGTTCATGGAGTATAAATGCTTTTGCAAGTAGCAGCATAATGAAGTGGTGCAGTTGTTTATTTTTTTACCCAAAATGTTAAAAAAAAACAACCAAAAAAAAAACCTGAGAAAATGTTTCATTGAGAGTATTGAATGAGGAAATGAGGAAATTAAGTAGCTAGGATTTTACAAAATCTACCTTTGGATCAGGTTCTGTGATGTCAGAGCTGCTGGTGCAGTATGCGGGGCTGGATCTAGCCAGAGGTGGGCGGGTAACGTAAAACACTTCCCTGGACGAAGAGCGGAGGTCTCGTTCTGCCTGACGCCTCATATTCAGATTGGATGAGAGGGATTCTACAGCTGAGACTCCAGTCGTGGGCGACGGGAGGCGGGAGATGTCTATGGAGCTGCAGACAGGCAGAAGAACAGATATAACAGAAATCTGTACAGGGAGGGATGTCCCTGAGCTCTCATGGATTATGTATTTGTCATCAAATGCAGACTGAGGTTATTCATTTGTTTGGAACCAAGGCTACAGAAATGATCCCACACACTTATCTGTAAGAATTCACACTATGCATGAATTACATGCATGTTAATTATGCAACCATTGTGCGATTAAACTTCTTTAAAGCCTGTTTCTATCACTTAGCTTTCAACATTACTGAGACTTTGTTTTATCTGGTTTATGCTGTTTAATCCTTTATTATTAATGCCTTAATTGTGTGGTACAGTGTGGTACACGTTCCTACACAATTATTCATGTAAAAATTCTACTATTACTAAAAACCTGACTTTTACATATTTTCTTTTGGTCAGATTTAATTTAACATGTGAACCACATAGTTCACTATGAATGTATCTCATATATTTTACAGACTGGGAAGACTTTAAATATTGAAGCTATTAATACTGAAGAACAGTAAGGAAAGGATGAAGGAAAGAAGCACAAATAGAAGGAAGAAAGGTAGGACACAAGCAATGAGAGAATGATAAAAGGAAGTATTACATGGAAATGAAAGATGAGAGTAGGTCAAAAAGATGGATAACAGAACAGTAAAAAAGGAAAGGATTAATAAAGTACAATATGAAGGGAAAAGGAGATGAAAAGCAAGGTAGGACAATGGAGGCAAGAAAAAACAAACCATGGTAGAAAAAAAAGGAGGGCGCAAAAAAGAAGGGAGGAAAGAAGAAGAGAAGAAATAAGGTAGAAAAGAGAATAATCAAGGAAGATAGGACACTTTAAAGGAAGTAATAGAAGAAAAGACACAAGGGTGTTGGAATAGAAGAAAGGAGGTTGGACACAAGGGAAGCAATAAAGGAAAGAGAAAAATATGAAAACTATGAAAAGGCACATGAAATGGAAAAAAAGAACATTTAGAAAATTAGACGGAAAATAAAGTCTAGAAATGCAGAGATTTTCTCGTAATCTTCTCAGAGCATTCTGAAAGTAAACCTCATACATTGCCACAGTTTAGGGTCGTGCAGGGAAAGGAAATGCAGGACAGGGACCAAAATAGTCCAGATCCTGTGAATAACTCATCCATCACATGTCATATTTTCCAGACATTTGAGCTCTCTCAGCAATCTATACAAGATTTTCCCATCACTAAAGTGCTGTTTATTCCTCAGATGTTTATCCTTATCATTTCCTTATTATTTCTATTAAAGCCCAGTGCCGTGCAAAAACTGTCTCCTGACAAAACTGAAGAGCTAAAACGAATTCAAAACAAAGTGAGAAAAGACTGAATAAACAGATGGCACTGGCAATTAGGGATTGATCAACTGCTTTGAAAGCCTGTTGAGGTGCATTAGCATTAGCATTATGGGCTTTTAGTAATACACTGAGGTTGTTCTGAGCTGCAGAACTCTCACTTCCTGTGTACACTTGGCCTTTTTATGAGTCCCTGTTAATAACACCCTTGTGGAGCTGAAAATCCTCTCTTTATGCAGCCTAGGTGCACATTTGCAATCACAATCATGCAAGGGTCTTTAAGGGCCGCAGCGGGGACCAATCCTGCTGGTACTTTGTTCTATTCAGGGACATGCAAATGCAGTTTTGTGCCCAGAAATCATGACAACAGAAAATGTAGAAAAACAACAGGGGACTGAGAGAAGATACCTGTTTAAATCACGCATCATGAGGCTTTGGAAATCAGAGGACATAAGGCGATTGAAAGATGGGCGGGAGAAGAGTCTGTCCTTCGGTCTCTCTGGCTGATGGTTTGTGGGCATGTGGAGCTGCGGATTTCTCAGGGCAACACTGATGTCATTCAGCAGTCGCGGCAGGGGTCCAAGTTTGAGGATAGCATCCTGCAAGATTCGTTTATTAACATAGAAAACAGGAAAATGCAGTATATAACTTTAGTTTGCACCACAAAAATTCACAAGGATAACAAGAAAACTATGAATAAATATATTGCTGTTTTCTACTTGAGGAAGAGTTCTAAGAAAAATATACTCATTTATTTTTTCAATATGTTAAGCAAAACAAAAGCTGATGATCTAATTCTATACTGGCCCTTCCAGTGGTGAAAGTCTTATTTTAATTACCTGCGATATACACTATCCAGCAACAAAAATGAAGATAAACTAAAACAAATTATTATCACTTGTTTGTATTTGTTTACTTGTTATTTCCAGCAGTTCAGCAATCAGTTTTTTATTCAAAGTTCCAGACGGCCACATTTATTACTTTCGCTAGAAGGTCATTTCAACTTTCAAAAGCTAAAAACAAGAGAAGTAAAGAACAGAGGGTGGAAAACAGGATTAAGAGAATATTGTTTATTTACTAACATAGCACTTTAAGACAAACTTAGAAGCTAAATTATTTTGCAGTTTGCAGAGCTTAATATTTTGATATAAGCTGCTTTATAGGGCATATTGCTTCCCCACATCATAGGTAGAGATGTAAGCTAAGGCTTTTCCTTGCTGTCACTGGTTACCAAGCTCTATTTGACCTCTGAGCAGTGGGTTGCAGTTTTTACGTCTGTCAAAGTGATTTAATACAATAAACCAGAGTTTTATAACACCTGATTTTACCTTAAAAATAGCATCAAATCACATGCTGTAAGTTGAAGCTTTTATCTGCCACAAACAGTGCTTATTATTTCCAAGAACAGTGAAAAACTCTTAGTATTTCACATGCTGATTACTAATCAGAGCAAGTCAAACAGAAATGTTTTCATTGAACCACAGAGCCAGTTAATTCATGCATTTCAAATAGTGGGGTTTCTAATTTATGTTACAGTATAATAGTAACTGTAATAAATAAAAAAAACTAATCTTACAAGTTTAGTTATCAAAAACAGTAAAATATCAGTGCAATCAGCTGAAAACTTAAAACCTCATTAAATTCAAGAGCTGGTATGATTGATATCTTTGCCTTTAAGCCCTGCCACATACTGACTCTGCCATGTGGTGGACTTTCCTGCTTTTAACCGTGTAAAAAACAATAAAAAATAAGTAAAATACAAGTGAGTATCATGAAGGGAAGTTAACTATCTGCGTTTTATTTGTACAAACACGTCCTTCAGTGCTTTGTTATGCTCTATAGTCAATTTTAGGTTGTCAGTTTATAGAAAACCTTTTTAACACTTTGAAGGGCTGCATAAAATTTTGAGAACTTTCTTTATGTGCTACAAATAAAAAAAATGAGGTTGGTAAATCAAGCTTAATAAAAACCTGTCTAGTTTTCGATCTCCAGATGACTTTAAACCTGTCGGACTCAAACCCTTGAGGGCTGGTGTCCAGCAGCATTAAGATGTACAATACCTTAGCAGCAAATAGCCAAACTATGGAGAGCTCTGCTGTGGAGCTTACCGGTATATTGGAGTCAGGTGTGCTGAAGGAGAGATGCACTTAAAAGTTGCAGGACAACAACCCTTGAGGACTGGAGTTTGAAACCACAATTTTATCATTAGTCCCCAGTTTGATCCCAATGCCTCAAATTGTAGCTCCTATTCCTTCACCTTTCAGCAGGAAGAGCATTACCCAGGGTAGAAAAAGAACTTCAGCCTGCTGTGCTGAATCGGGACAGCCTTTGGCCTTAAAGGTATAGAGGACAATCTTTTATTTTCGGATGGATCATCTAAATAAGTGGTCCTCCAAATTCTCAATCATTCTGGTGATATGTTTATGTAAGGCCGTCCTACGTGCTCGCCCCGTTATATTTTTCTGCACATGCGAAATTTCCGGTGTATATCTCATAAAAGTCTGAGAAAAGGTGTCTACGAAGTGTATGAGAATAAAAGAAAGGCCTCAGAAGAGGCAGATATATCCCGGAAGGCTTTGCACGGGGGGGGGGGGGCTCTCCTCGCAAGGCATTATGGCATTTGTTGTCACAGAGGCCCGCTGTCGTCATAGGCTGTCGCTACTAATAAAAATGACAGCGCAGGCATCTGGCAGTGAAGAAGGAGTTACCTGAAAAAAGCAGTGATCATCTGTCCGGATGGTCAGTTAACTGAGTTGGCTATAAAGTCAACCATATAGTCCCCGCTCTATATAGTGATTGAGGAATTTAAGGATTAGAGCGGACGTTTGGGCACAGTAAGCTTGTATGAGCTATGAGAACAGCAACTTTTAAACAGAGAGTATACGAGGAGAAATGGGCTCTCGCACGCTCGTCCTTTTAAAAGTGGAGAGGGCGGGTCTTTTAAAAAATTCACAAAAATCCTCCACAATATCTTTAAGGAACACATTATGCAATGGACTAATGTTAATTTCGTTAACGAAAACTAAACGAAAATATTTTCGTCAACGCACATTTTTCACCGAACGAAAACTAGACGAGACGAGACGAAAATCCCCACTAATAAACAATAACTGGGACTAAATCAGAAATAATTTTCGTGGACTAATAACGACGAGACGAAAATGCAGTTCGGTAAGACAAAATAAAAATAATATGCCACACATAATTCAGAGCAACTTTAACCTAGATTTTCATATACAAAATTGTCATTGCTAGGGGGACCACTGCAGGGATGTCTTTATTTGGTGACATAAAATGCTGCTCTGTTTATCTGCATATTACTATTACAAGGACATTTGATTTGAATTGGCATCAATATTAATACAACCAAAATGCATGCACACATAAAAATGTCTGCAATTTATTCCTGCATAAAATGATAGTTAGGTTGTTTGTATGAGTTTGAAATGGATTGTCAAATGTAGTTTTTACAGAGACTTAGTTTTTGTTAAGGAAAAAAAGAGACCTATATGCTACTTATACACTTGGAATTCGTGTTATGCTGTGCATCTATCCTGACATTGTATTAATTTCTGTTCCAGATTAAAGATACACCACCACCAACAACAACCTACCAGCCACCCAGAAACAATGACAGGCCAGCTAAAGCTGGAAGGAAAGCACTTTTGTTGTATCAGTTGGAGTTTTTTTTTTTTTTTTTTTTTAACATTGCCCTCAAATCTATTTATTTTATTATTCTATGTGAACTAGCTTTAAACAGCCAGCACTTGTGTTAAGTTCATAAGACACTTAATTTTATTTATTTGTTTCATTTGCCAGGTGTGTTTTATTTGTTTTAATGCAAGCATTTGTGTTTGTGTCTTTGAACCTTAACAATGTTCAAAATAAATATGCAAATATTGTCAGAACATCTTCCATGTCTGCATGTGTTCCTTAAAATTGTGTTTTTTATCAAAAAGATGAGAGAAAATGTTGAAATAATTTTAGGAAATCTTAAACGTTATCTGCTGACAAAAAAGTAAAAGGTTAAAATTATGTCCTGACTAAAACTAGACTAAAATGTTGACAGTTTTTGTTGACTAAAACTAAACTAATAAAATTATGTTTTCTTGGACTAAAATAAAGACTAAAATGCTTGACTTATAGTCGACTAAAACTAGACTAAATAAAAATGCGATGATGTCGACTAAATGTGATAAAAACTAACAAACGATGCTGAAACTGGACTAAGACTAAAACTAAATTTAAAAATGGCTGCTAAAATTAACACTACAATGGACACACAAAAATTATGCTGATTAAGTTAATACTACAGCCATTCATCAAAGATCTGCAATAAACAAAAGTTACACAAATGTAGTGAACGGCTGAAAATCTCCATTATAAAACCTAAAAAGACAGATGGAGTTTAGGACATTTGCATGTGTCACACACAGCACATGTCAGGAAATATTGGATTTTTATTAAACTCCCAGAGATGGGATGTGCCTATTTTTCTTGTCACACAAAGGATTATGGGCATCCATATAGCTCCTAATGGCAGCTAGAGATGTCAGGCGGTCCCTATGCTAACTGCATTGGTGCAAGGAAGCTTCCTACTTCCTTGCCCTAGCTCCTTCCTACTTCACACTTCCTCCATGGCCTAAGTGTCCTTACTGATTTGAGGTATTATGGACCTGATAAATGCATCTGGTTGGTACTAATGTCTCTACAGGTTGTTTATTTTCCAATTCTTGATTATTCACCTCGATTCAAAACAGATTTATGAGTTTCGCTATGAAACCACTATAGTCCTAAATGGACCTACCTTGCTGAGCTGTCCCATGACTTCCCATAGCAAGCTGTGCAGCATGGACAGCTCCCTGCCGAGGTCGATGTAGCCCTCAAAGCCTCCAGCGTTTCCTCCAGTGTCCATGTTGGAAATCTCATAGAGGAACTGCTGCATGGAGCCCCACTCCATCTCTAGGAACTCATTCATGAAATACAAGTATTCCTCTTTGGGTCCAAATCTAAAAAGGTGAAACATTGAAAAAGGGTGAGTCTTTGCTTTGGTAGTCATTGGCTGCAATGAAAGCAAGACTTCACACATGAAGATGCCAGAGATTTACATAAAGTAACGATTATTGCTAAATTCTCTGATCTAATTAAAATCGAAAGAAATTTATAGCAAATTCATAGCATGTGCCGAGAAGATAATCACACAGAACAGAAAGGTTCTTGTCTGACCAACGGACCTGTGCTTTAGCAGGCTGAGAAATAAAACTGGGAGGATGAAGATGAGTTTCTTAGTTGTACATAAGAATTACGAAATTATATATCGGAGCTAAATATCTTTAATTTTAATCCAATCTAATAAGACACCTTTACTTGAGATACGCGTTACACAATATCAAAACTATAGATAACACACACATCAAATTTAGTGACACATCAGGTTGAGCCTCACTATTGGAAAATAAAAAATATTCTACCTCAGAGTAATTTTAAATTTTTTTTCCATTATACTTAGACATGACTTCTATTAACGGTATATTTTCCTGCTTAAAGGAAAAGTACACCCAAAACATCATTAGCCTTCATTTTCTACTCACCCCCATGCTGAACAACACTCTGGAGTACTTTTTTGATATCTCAAATGCATCTGGAGATCTGGGAGGCTTCTTGCTGTCTGCTGACATTCAAATAATGGAGGTCTATTGTGCCCGAGACAGAAAGGTCCATAAAAGTCCACCAAAAACGTGTCAATATTCCTCCATACTGGTCGTCCAATGTATTCCAAGTGTCCTGAGTGGGTAGCATCCAGAATTTACTCGAAACGAAGTCATTTAGAATGTTTTTAGAGCATAAACAGTAGTGTATAGGATTTCCTGAAAGCGCGCACATGCGCGATCACGACGCTACGGAAGCCGGCAGACCAAACCAGATGAAAGTGCGCATTCAGCGTCTGCTCTGCTGATAATGCAAGCGTAGAAGAAGAAATGTGCCGTTTACCTGTGCAAAGAAAGAAACAACGAAAGAAAAATGTCTGAGGACTTCAGTGTTGAGGAAGAGCATGAGTTCTTTGCCGAGCTGAATGCGCTGGTTTGGTCTGCCGGCTTCCGTAGCGTCGTGAACGCGCATGTGCGCGCTTTCAGGAAATCCTATACACTACTTTTTATGCTCTAAAAACATTCTAAATGACTTCGTTTCGAGTAAATTCTGGATGCTACCCACTCAGGAAACTTGGAATACATTGGACGAGCAGTATGGAGGAATATTGAAACGTTTTTTGTGGACTTTTATGGACCCTTCTGCCTCGGGCACTGGGCACCTCCATTATTTGAATGTCAGCAGACAGCAAGAAGCCTCCCAGATCTCCAGATGCATTTGAGATATCAATAAAGTACTCCAGAGTCTTGTTCAGCATGGGGGTGATTTTGGGTGTACTATTCCTTTAAGAAGGGAATGGAAAATATATCAAATCAAAGTGTCTGTGCAGTAAGTTACCCTGAACTTCCCGCAGTCGTGCTAAGGAACAAAAATGCCTTTCTAGTCTGCTGCTGGTTTTGTTTGTCTCTCTTTTCTGTTGTCTCAACACCCAGGTGGACGTGACAGACGGAAGCCATGTCTGCTTTTGCCGGAGTGAATTTCTCCTTCCTACTCTCCCCTGCATCGCTCTGCACCCCCAGGATGACATCAAATCAAAGGAATAATTCATGCAGTGACACAGCTTTCAGCTTTCAACTTGAAGTCTTATAATTATACTTAATAAATACATTTAACCAGAATGCATTAAACTGATCTGGATTACTAATTAGTATGAATAGATTGTACCTATTCCCATTAGCTTGGTTTACTCTTTAAACCTGCAAAAACAAATTAATTAGTTCTAAATTGGAAAACTAAATCATACAGAATTTAACTTAGGGAATGTATTCAAACAGATTCACACCTAAATACAGTTCTGTGTTCAAATAAATAACACTGCATTAGTTTTATATCAGAAATGCTGCACAATAGTGAAATTTTTTTCAGGAATTTAGAAGAAAATGTAGGATGTGTAATTAATAAGTATGCTTTATTGTGAAAAGCATTTTGTGGTTTATAGGCTTCTTCTGTTTTATATTTAAACAAAGAGATCCATGGTAACAAAAAAAAAAAGAAAAAACTATATATATTTGGAAAAATTGGCTTTTCAAACCAACCAAGTGCTTTCAAAAAACACTTTGTTTCACTAAGAAAACTCTCTAATTTAGTGTTTTGTTGTCGTTGTTGTTTTTGACCAGATCCTGTCCTAAAAACGAACATTATCTATAGAGCAAAGAAACACCTTAAAAATTACACGAAGTAGGAAAAAAGATCTAATGAACAAAAGCTCCAACAAAGCAAAGAAATGCAAAATCAGATCAGAAACAAAAAAAAACATCAACCAACATATCATGTCAGTGAAAAGCTGTAAAGACATTTTAGTGATGTGGTGCTAGAAAGATATCACAGCAACAATCAAAACATGCTAGTGTGAAGGTCTAGGGTTGCTTTGGTACCGTATTTTCACGACCATAAGGCGCACCGTACTAAAAGGCGCACTCTCAGTTATGTGTCCCATTTCTGTATTTAACACACACATAAGGCGCACCGGACTATAGGGCGCGTTTTTTATATACAGGTACATGTCCTCTACTACCTTTAAATACCTCTACTGCGTATTTAAAAATACAGCGGGGGCAAAACTGAGTATGACTGTGCTTTATTCATGTATTTATTACAAAGTATTAATCAAACCTGCGAGCTGACCGTGAGACAGACACATCGCAGATGACAGGGCGCTGTGATTATTCCTAAATTAACTTAAAATCCTGAAACCTGCCGACGGAATATGTTCACTTTTATTGCCGGTATCCTGGTGCCTGCAGTTTAAATTGTTTAGATGAAAAACACCTGCCAGCCGCCGCGGCGAGGCTGCTGTTGAAGGGATTTACTGTCGGTGCACCGATGGTATGTGGGGTCTGAGCGCCTCCGACAGAAATAGTATAGGCACGATAATAATCTGGATGAACTGACTGCAATTATGAAGTTTTCAGGTGGACTTTCTCACTTAAAAACATATTAAAACTACTTTATTCCCACTGATCACAGCAAATATAGCTGCAAGATTTAGAATATTTAGATGAAAAAACACCTGCCAGCCACCGCGGTGAAGAGGAGGAGACCCGCCCAGAGGCTGCTGTTGCATTAAGTTTTCAGGTAGAAAAATAGAGCGGGAGCAAAACTGAGTATGATTGTGCTTTATTCATGTATTTATTACAAAGTATTAATCAAACCCATCAAAGTCATCATCCTCTGTTTCTGAATAAAACAGCTGCGCTAAATCAGACGTGCCAATTTCCCCTTCTTCGCTGTGAGAGTCATTTTCCGTGCAGCGCAGCTCCTCAGAAATAATGCCGGCTTTGAACAACTAAGGGAGCTTGAACAACTAAGCTTGAACAACAGAGCCAGCAGACACGTTAGTCCAAGCATCTACAATCCATCCGCAAACGGTGGCGTAACTTGCCCGGCGCTGCCTTCCACTTATCCTGAAACTGTGGTCTCCGTCTGTCATCCATCGCTCCCACGCCGCTCGCAGCCTTACTTTGAACGGCCGCTTCACACCGATGTCGAGCGGTTGAAGCTCCTTTGTCAGACCCCCCGGGATAACGGCGAGCACAGCGTTCATTTGATTCACCTTTTTTTCACATCGGCTGTGAGATGGGCACGCAGCGATGGTGATGCGTGGAAAAAAGCACCTGGTCTCCTCACATACACCTGCCTGCATCATCTCCTCATCCATCCAGCCTTTTTCATTTGCGTTAATATCATATGTCATCAGAGCGCTGTGTCTGTCTCGCTGTCAGCTCCCAGATCAGCTTCTCTGATTGGTTGATGCGGCGCGTCCAGCAGCAAAACTTCAATTTTTCCATCTCGAGCAGCAGCAGCGCGACGCGCTGCACCTGCAGCTCAAAACGCGCTGCAGGACCTTTTGCTGCATCTATACGCGCGTCAACCATTGACTTTGCATGTAAACTCGCTGCTTCTGCTGCACCTGCTGGGTCCGGTTCACACCGATGTCGAGCGGTTGAACAGCGAGCACAGCGTTAATTTGTTTCCCCATGTTTTTCACATCAGCTGTGAGATGGGCACGCATGGAGTTACATATTAACAGCGATGGTGATGAGTGGAAAAAAAACACCTGGTCTCCTTACATTCAGCCACTCTTTCATCATCTCCTCAATGAGGTGGTCTCAAAAGTCGCAGTTACAACACACATAGGGCGCACCGCACCAAAGGGCGCACCGCACATTTTGAGGGGAAAAAAAGACGTTTAAGTGCGCCTTATACAGGTGCTGGTCATAAAATTAGAATATCATGAAAAAGTAGATTGATTTCAGTAATTCCATTTAAAAAGTGAAACTTGTATATTATATTCATACATTACATACAAACTCATATATTTCAGATGTTTATTTTGTTTAATTTTGATGATTACAAATGACAACAAATGAAAATCTCAAATTCATCATATCAGAAAATTAGAATATTGTGAAAAGGTTCAAAATTGATGGCCCCTGGTGCCACACTCTAATCAGCTAATTAACTCAAACCACCTGCAAAAGCCTTTAAATGGTCTTTCAGTCTAGTTCTATAGGCTACACAATCATGGGGAAGACTGCTGACTTGACAGTTGTCCAAAAGACGACCATCGACACCTTGCACAAGGAGGGCAAGACACAAAAGGTCATCGCTAAAGAGGCTGGCTGTTCACAGAGCTCAGTGTCCAAGCACATTAATAGAGAGGCGAAGGGAAGGAAAAGATGTGGTCGAAAAAAGTGTACAAGCAAGAGAGATAACCGCACCCTGGAGAGGATTGTGAAACAAAACCCATTCAAAAATGTGGGGGAGATTCACAAAGAGTGGACTGCAGCTGGAGTGAGTGCTTCAAGAACCACCACACACAGACGTATGAAAGACATGGGTTTCTGCTGTCGCATTCCTTGTGTCAAGCCACTCTTGAACCACGGACAGCGTCAGAAGCGTCTTGCCTGGGCTAAAGAGAAACAGGACTGGACTGCTGGTGAGTGGTCCAAAGTCATGTTCTCTGATGAAAGTAAATTTTGCATTTCCTTTGGAAATCAAGGTCCCAGAGTCTGGAGGAAAAGAAGAGAGGCACTTCATCCACGTTGCTTGAAGTCCAGTGTAAAGTTTCCACAGTCAGTGATGGTTTGGGGTGCCATGTCATCTGCTGGTGTTGGTCCATTGTGTTTTCTGAGGTCCAGGGTCAACGCAGCCACATACCAGGAAGTTTTAGAGCACTTCATGCTTCCTGCAGCTGACCAACTTTTTGGAGATGCAGATTTCATTTTCCAACAGGACTTGGCACCTGCACACAGTGCCAAAGCTACCAGTACCTGGTTGAAGGACCATGGTATCCCTGTTCTTAATTGGCCAGCAAACTCTCCTGACCTTAACCCCATAGAAAATCTATGGGGTATTGTGAAGAAGAAGATGCAATACACCAGACCCAACAATTCAGAAGAGCTAAAAGCCACTATTAGAGCAACCTGGGCTATCATAACACCTGAGCAGTGCCACAGACTGATCGACTCCATGCCACGCCGCATTGCTGCAGTAATACAGGCCAAAGGAGGCCCAACTAAATACTGAGTGCTGTACATGCTCATACTTTTCATGTTCATACTTTTCAGTTGGCCAACATTTCTATTAATCCTTTGTTTTTATTGGTCTTCAGTAATATTCTAATTTTCTGATATGATGAATTTGAGATTTTCATTTGTTGTCCTTTGTAATCATCAAAATTAAACAAAATAAACATCTGAAATATATGAGTTTGTATGTAATGTATGAATATAATATACAAGTTTCACTTTTTAAATGGAATTACTGAAATCAATCTACTTTTTCATGATATTCTAATTTTATGACCAGCACCTGTAGTCGTGAAAATACGGTACTTGTTCTCCATAATTGATGGAACCAGGAACTACTCTCCACCAGCTCCTACGGTAGCTCTGACCATTTCTGAACATGAAGAATAAAAAGCACATCCAAAGCTCTACCTTTAAAGGATTCAAATGGACTTAAAAACCTACAGAAAAGCAATCTTTTTCTTTGACCAAAATGTGTTCACATTTCCTCTATAGTGCTGTAAAAGACTCATATCATACAGCTGTTGCTGCACAGTCAATTAGTTTTAGGGTGCAATAACTTTTGACATCAGAAACAAAGAAAACATCAAAGCTTGAGTATAGGACCAAATTCTCTTATTCTTACCTGGATAAATCACAATGGTGACTTATAAGCAAACTTTTAAATCTTTAATCACTGCTGCTTTTTTAAGCCAAAGGTTTGAATTAACACATCGGTGTTCTAGTTTTTAATCAGAGTGTCAGAGGAGATTGCAGACTGAAAGAAATGTGTCACTGCAGTGAGGCTCTGAGCTCACTGCGTGTGAGTAACAGTTTAAACTCTTTCGCCGGCAAAACTGCAATCCTCTATTTCCGTGATTTTAGACCATCCCACCTGACAAGAATGCAGAATGTCAGCATATCTACGTCAACTTAGTGCAAAAAAGCTGAGGAGACACTCACTTGGTGAAGCTGGCCAGGTTCTGCATCACTTTGGCGATGAGCGTGAGGGTGCGGGATGTGCGCTCAGCCGGGTACTCCTGCATCAGGTTGAACAGGGATGGCGACATGATGGCTGGGCACATAAAGCGGAGGAACAGGGAGGAGCTGATGAGGCTGTCGGCGAGATCCTCTCTCCCTCGCTCGGCGCATCTGGCTCTCCAGGAGGCAAAAACCTCCTTCAGCTCCCGAGGGAAAATGCTGAAGCGAGAACATTGTACTTATTACAGACTGTCAGGGAGAACAGCAAGATGGAAAAGTCGAGAGACTGAAACTTATAGAAAGTTACCTGACCATATCACTTTTCACAAAATGGAAATGTTTCTCCTGGATAATTTCTTTGTTCATTTTAATTTCCTTGTCACAGTGGATAATTCTTCCAATGATAAATAGTTTTAAGAAATATCAGTCTGAGTACATATACTCCAAGGGGAAATGACCCAATAATAGGTTTTAATCACAGGTACTATATTCTTTGGGCGTCCATCATGAATTGGCTAAAATAAATGCAGCTGAATCATGAAACATTTGCTTAATGCAAAATTCCTTTTTCCAGGTTGATCAGAGCTAACTCTAATCAGAAATGTATGCCTCCCTTCTTCATTGAGATTTCAATGAGGTGAAACAGAAGCAACTTTTCTCTTAACAAATAAATAGATGTATTTTTTTTATCAATAATCAGCAATTATTAACCATGATCTTTTCTGTTCAACTTTGCAAGCATCATAATAACTGCCTGAATGAGAAATTCCTACAAATCACATTAACATATATGTGTGGCATGAAGCAGGCCAAACATCTTAAAAACCGTTGCAAAAGGCGGATATGAAGGGGTTGCTGTAAAAAGCTTATGTTTTATTCCAACTCAGACTGGGGGGAGGGACACAAAGACATCTCCACATATACAGTATGGCATCTTAGGTCCATGAATATGTCAGCTAGATGTTTGGGAGAAGTCCCAGTAAAAAACAACCTGCCAAATCATGAACATGTTGAGGTTTGTCAACTTTAACTGGAACGTCATTTCTAAGGCAGGACTATTACTAAACATGACAGGTGGTGCAGGCCTCAAATAAAAGATAAACATTTAGAAAAGCACCTTGTGCCCACTGTTAAGTATGGTGGAGGATCAGTGGGGCTCTGGACCTGTTTCTCCTAAAAAGGGAATGTTACTGGAGTGAATGAGAGCATTAACTCCTAAAATATATATTTTCACCAGGTATGCAACACTGAGTGAGAAGTGTAATGGAGGATGTTTTTTTCTGGGTGGATCATCAAAATAAGTGGTCCTTCTAATTGTCAATCATTCTGGTGATATGTTTACTTAAGGCCGTCCTACGTGCTCGTCCCCATTTAGCTATCTCTTTATACGCATGCACACAGGCGTATATTTGTGGTGTCTTTGAAAATGGCAGAGTGGAGAGAAAAAGTGTCTACGAAGTGTATGAGAAGAAGAGAAAGGCCTCAGAAGAGAGAAAGAAGACCAGAGTGTTTTTAGGAGATTATTTCACGCAACGGCGGACACTGACAGTACAGGTTGGGCTTTCCACTGATGCCTCGGTTGCAAAGTTTCTGCTCGAAAGGTTAAGTTTGATATGCTATTTGGAGAAATCCATTTAACATCAGTCCTAGTCAAATTTATCTACTGTACCTCTATATTGTATCTTGAAAGATACCCATGGAAGATAAGTTTATTTATTTTGTAATTTGCATCGTCAGTAGTTATACGGTGGATCCTTATTTACCCAGCAAACATGTCCAAATCTCCACTGTAACACACACACAAACAAGCAAGTGATTATTTTTTTAGTAGTCTTTTGTGGGGAAACTTTTTATATATAAATATGGGTGAGATGGATCCATCCTATCATTGCGTAGCACCGTCCTCGAGAAGAAATGGGCTTGTGCATGCTCTTGAACGCTTTTAATAGGCGTTCCATCTCGATATACAGGGTTATGCATATACACTTTTTTCTTTTAAGTGGAGAGGGCGGGTCTTTTCAAAAATTTGTAAAAATGATCTACTATACCTTTAACAGGCAAAAAGAATTGACTACATTTCATTATAAGCAAGGAAATGTCTTTATAAACTGACCAGAGGGAGTTGATGATCTTGCAGAGTAAAAGCTCGCAGCACATGCGAAGGTTGGCTTGGTGGTCAGCAAGGACTGACGGAGGAACACGCATTGGGTCCACCTCACAGTTCTCCTCAGATTCATATAAGGCTCGAACAAAATCACCTGAAAGTTCGATAAGATCCAGGGAGAAATGATTAAGTTACTACAGGGATTCTCAAACTTTTTTACGCCGCAGCCCACCAAATACCACTAGCTTATGGCAGAGGACCCTCTTTGCAAACTAACACACAAGGCCACAAAATACGTAAGGGAAAAATATTATCAAGTTTTAGATGTATTTTGCTTAGTTTTTTTTTTACCTATACAGTGATCATTACCCTTTTTGGCATACAACTACTTAATGGGAGTATGTTTTCAACATGTATTATATTCATTTCTGAATTATATTCACACTGAATAACAAACATTTTAACATCTTTTTTTAAAAAAGAACAAAATAAATCCAGCTTAACTCAAGTGTGGAAGGTTGGGCTTTATGAACACTATGGAGGGTTAAAAGGGACACCAGAGTGCTCACTGTGGCCCAACTTCAGAAAGGATCAACGTTCGCCTTGCCAACTGACTAACAGTAGACCAGCTCTTTCATTAACATATTCAAGTATTACAGATCAAACTAGGGATACATGTAATATTAAATTAACAGGAATTAGGGCAAAAAGTTAGACAGTGCTAAGAATAATGTGCAAGATAAACCATGAACATCCTATAGGTACACAATATTCCACACTTTAAAAACAAACCCAATTGCATATCTCCTCCATGTCAAATTCTTATACCTTTCCTTATCCTTTTACCTCCATCTATCATTTCTTAATAAGTAAGGGGCTTTAAGGCTTGTCAAACATGAATGAAAAACTACGCTAAACTCATCCATAATCCAATTTTCTTTTCCCTGTTTCAGTTTTTACAAATGGATGCGGTTAACATCAGCAAATCTACAATTAAATATTTTATTATTAATTATTACTTATAATTAAAATCTTTTAGAATAGGGTTTTACAAGGCATATACATGACACAATATTACTTAAATATGGAAAAACACAACAATATTTAAGTCCTTATTTACAACAAAATGAGTCCAACTATTTTTATACCTTTGGTTGAACAGTAAAAGTTCTTGCACCTTAAATCTAAATTTAGATTTTAGAAGTAACTGCATGCTGGAGTTCAAACTGTTACACATAATAACTAAAGGCATTTGCTGACTTTCGGGTCCTAGCTGCTATTAGCATATTTAGTATGCATGCCAGCCTTTTAGGATACTGAACTCAGGGTCCAATTATCAAGTCGGCATTATGTCTGTAGGTAGAAGTCGGGGTTATTTAAATCTGGTGTAAAGTTGAAAAGTGGCACTATACTCCTGCAACCCTGCTAGTCTAGTTGGGGGAAAATATGGAAGGTTAAGACAAAGTGGAATTCAAAGAAGCACTAAGAAAAAAGTAATTTAAGGAAAAACAAATATTTCTAACATACGGCAATATACAATGAGAGAAAAGTCAGTAGGAAGGAATATTAGCAAAGCTTTTCTCATTATGGGCAAGAACTAAAATGCCATGAGGTCTGTTGCACAGCTACCAGGTAAAATAAGAGGTTGTAAAAAATCCAGTTTCTAATTGAATACAACTTCCAGACATTAGTAGTAACTTTGATAAAGCTACCTAACTGCCATTTTGTTAGGTACCATGTGACATGCCGCTTCTGCTTGTTTTTTGACTATTGGATTTTTTCACTGGAGCTTTATTCTTACCAATAGCTTCCTTGAGGTATCTGTGACCTATTAGTTTGAGGTACTCTTCCACTGCTTTTGTAGCAAGTGTGTTCTCCCGGAAGATCAAGTGCTCACGGTCCATGAACCGATCCACCTCACACATTGCCATGTCTGAAAGAAACTCCTATGAAAAGATACAACATGCAGTCTAATGAAATCCAACAGTTGCAAGTAAGGCAGGTTGATCTGTAAAGCACCATTAATAGTGCAGGTATAAATTAAACTACTTTCCAGACAAAATAAAAGAAAATCTTAAAGGGAAAAATAATAAAAAAAAAAAAATAATAGGTTATAGGAAATTAAGGATAACATTTGAAATGCTAATTTCAAGCAAATAAATTACCAAAAAAAATTATAAAACTACTGATAAAACAACTGTTGTGTTGCAGGACTAGTAATGCTTTCAGTCTTGATCTGAAGGATCTAGAATTTCCTGCACATGTTAAGCGCTTTTCCAAGTCAGGAGACCTGACCGAAGCTCTTTGCACTGCATTCAGTCTTTCATCCATTGACTCACACACTGATGGTGGTGAGCTACATTGTAGCCACAGCTGCTCTGGGGCTCACTGACAGAAGCGAGGCTGCGTATACTGGTGGCACCGGGCCTTCTGACCAAACAGAGGTAGGCAATGCGGGTGAAGTGTATTATCATGTATATTGAGCGAGGGCTCGAACCGACAACCCTATGGTTGCAGGGCAAACTCTTGCAATTCACACTGGTGTGAGACACAGGTTAAAATTTTCTGGATGCTGGCCAGGAGGTTAGCAACATTTTAAGATAAGCAAAAGCTGCCCAACTGTTTATGGAAAGTCACCATCATAATATGACCTAATTAAAATAAAAATATCCTCCATCCATCAACCCCCTTTGTAGTGTTTAATTTGTCGACACAGAAAAACCTGTCATTTGCATAAGTTTGATAAGGAATTCCTAAATACATCACCCTGTAAACCAAGATTGCAGCCTTGGGAGACCTAATGTGATCTTTTTTTGCTCAGCTTAATGTTTTAAATGCCAGCGGCCAAATAAATATAACCTAAAGCATCTATTACAGAACTAGACAGTCCAACCACTCTTTAAGTCTATCAATTGGTATGTTATGATTAATTTAGTTAAATGCAGTATTAAGATCCATCAATACCAAGACAGGAAAACTTTAAAGTTTTATGGTAAGCCGACTGAAAAACATTTATAAACATTGTTTAAAATTAACAAAACAATTCCTTTACAGCATAAACCCATGCAGAAAGCAGTTTATTTGTCAAAAATAAGCCTTCTACATTCTATTTGCCAAAAACATAAAGTTATATATTGTCAGGCTACTTATTCAGTCGGAATAAAAGTGTTACTTTGCTTACCTTTGTTTTCCCTGTGCTCTGAAGAATGTGGACCAAAGCAAATGCAACCTCCTCTTTACTCTTAACGCTAAGCAGCGGCTCCAATACTGCACACAGTGTTCGGTAGTTGTTTGTAATGTATTCGGCGAACTCCTTGTACAGCTCCATCGGTAGAATATTCATCGTCTGGTAGCGAGACTTGATGCGTAGTGAAGCATTGATCACTTTGGTGCTACCAACACCACCACTTTTGGCTAAAACACTGGACTGTATCACCGGGTACCACTGCTCCACAAACTGCCGGCCTGTGATGCTGGATATCGGGATGCTGACTAGGCCAATATATGTGCTTTTCTCCTGTATTACAAACATCATAAATAAATAAATCTTTGTGTTTTTTTTTTAAGAATTAAACATTATATAAAGTACTAAAATGTTTGTTTACCTTGCGTCTCTTTTTGTCAGTCTCTTTGTAGAGGTGCAAACGAAGGCTACGAATGGTCGGCAAATTGTTAAACTCAAAATGTTCTCCCCAGAAGACTGTATCGGTGCGTGGCTTGCTGGTGGTGCGTGCATACAGCATGTCATCCAGACACAGCTCACAATAGTAGCGTTTCTTAGCTGGAAGATCTCGGGCCTCAATTATCCACAACTTGAGTACATTCTCTACTCGCCTGCTGTTGTCCTGAAAAGAGTGCTATTTCTGCGTTAAACAGCCCTGGAGGGTTACATTTTCAAGTGAATTAAGCAAAAAAAAAAAATGATCCACTGAGAATACCTTGTTAGGTTTGACAGCTCTTTGAAGATTTTCAATCCATTTGTCTCTTTCTGAAGCTGATCGGCAGGCAAAACATTTTGTCCCTGAATTGGTGGTTACCTAAAGACGAAACATATTATTTTGTTTTTTTTACATTGACATTTTCTTTGTAGGGCAAACCTTGTATATAATTACTTTTGTCACTAATAATTTTATTTATCTTAGGAGCTTTATGAGTAACAATCAATGATACCTACTGTTAAAGATGGAGATTCTGACAAAGTTAGTGGTGCACAGGCAGATTGGCTTCCACTAGATTCTCCTGTTACACCGCTTTTCTTCCCTTTCTTATACAATATGTAAATGATTTGAGAGTATTTTTTAAGAGGCTTTTGTGAAATCTGTGCATTCTCAGTGCAACATGGCTTCTCAAGCACAATTATTTGTATGTTTCCTAGGTAATACTGGCTCATTTTCATAAACACTGTGTGTGAAGATATTTATGACCCTAGATAATTATGACTCTAAATAAGTCTCTGACCTGTAGATGTCTACGTAGAGATAACTATAAGAGCTGTTATCTTTATTTTAGGAATACGGGGACTATTTGATGAAGCTTCATATTATTAAAACCATTATTTATTGCAAAATACTGGCCACTGGACCTCTGTTGACCTATGCATCCTTTGAGCAAAGTGCTGCGGCAAAGTTGATGATTCTTTGCAGTTTCCTTACTCAGATAGAAAACTTTGCAATAACTGTCAGAAAAAAACTGAACTCTACTGTATTTTATTGGGATAAGGCAGGACAGCTGTCAGCCCTGTTGCCTTGTAGGTATAACGTCCTGTTTAGCTCTCATTCAGGGCCCTTCCCTAGTAGGGTTTTGTGTGTGGACACTCTTGCTTCATCTCACAAGCCATAAATATGCATAAATTGTCCAGTTTTTCTTTGTTACACCCCTTGAAGGACTAGCAACCTGCAACACCCCAAGACCTACAAGGATTAAAGGAAATAGAGGCAAGAGGAGGAAAAAAGAATCACCAGTGACACCAGTGAAACGTGTACAGGCCATATTCACAGCCCTGCACTAGTGATGCGGAAACACCATTTACTATGTGATGGTTTGCTATAAGACTGCTGTGCATGGAGAGATACACGGGTGGGCTGGTTGATTTTTATTCTCAAGGCTTCTTCACCTATTAGCATTTTTTTTTAAACTGGACACAGATGTGTATTTGTTCAGAATTCCCACCCCTAGTTCCTTTAAGTAGGCAGAGAGGTTGAGAAGTATTTTATGACAATCACATATTAAAGCCTTGTTTCCAACAATAGTTTTGCATTTCTGTTCACCTAAAGCTATAAATCTGATAATCTTTTATATTTTATCAGATTTCTTTAACTAAAAGCTCACTGTATTTCTAGAAGACTCTGGAGAGAAAAAGCAGTGTTGCAGTTCTACTTTAAATAATTTTAGTTAAAGAAAAATAGTCACAGACAGGCAAAAAAGATCAGATTAAACAAATTAACACACCTCAAAGCAGTACTCTTGTCCTAAAATGCTAGAATGGACAGGCTTAATAATGGCATCTTCATCCAGAACTAGATCTAGAGCCTCTGCAGCGCTGCTGGGGGAAAGGAGGGACTCGTGGGAGTGGGATTCTTTGAAGCTTTGCATCAAGCGAGTCCTGGTGAGAGAAGGAGACATCGACTTATATTCAACATTCATATACATGTTTTTACAACATGAGTCACGGCAGCTGAAAATCACTGAGCGCCAGCTTCCGGAAAATATAACTGCGCCTTTATTTTTGTCTGTATATGCTCAACACTAGGATAAATGTGTGTTTCTGAGTGTCACAGTTGTATAAATTGACTTATTCAGGGATACCATTTTAAACTGCTGACATGCACACAATATAATCAGAAAACATCAATGCAATGGCCTGCTGACATAACATTGGTTCAAGAATAGAGATTTTACTTTAAACAGCCACCTACAAAGCCTTGCAAAAGTATTATCAAATCGCATTCTCAAACCTCAATGTAGTTTTTGGGCTTTTATGATAGACCAAAAAAAAAAAACCAAATGAAAATCTGAAAAATGTGATCTGCAGTTGTATTCATCCCCTTTTATACTGATACAGTTGACCCTTGTGTAACCTAATGTCAGTATAAAAGGAAGCTGTACAGTAAGTCCTAAAAGGTGTGGTAGAGAACGTCAATAAAGTCATAATGACTTAATGAAGATTCAGAGCAGGGCAGCTTATAAAACTGTATCTTGATCTTTAAGTATCTGATGGTGCAATGTTCAAACCATAATTTTAACATGGTGAGTCGTTGGGCCACGAAAAGAAATCATTAAAAAGAGAAGAAGCTAAGAGGTCCCTGGTTAAATGAGACAATGTGTTATGGAAAAACTACAAATCATACATACAGCAAAAATGTAAAAGGTGGTGTGCTGTGTCAGTGGCATTAATTGAGCTATATACAGCGCCTGATGTATTGAGCTATATTAATGCTGTTTATTGCACGCCTGCAACTATCATGAGCTGAAACTGTTACTGTCAACTTTAGCAGGACTGCTGATGTCCCTTCAAGAGGTTTTTCTTTAGGTGTAACAATATTTCCTGAAGTGTAGGAATTTCCAGATCTGATATCAATATTTGTACAATATCAGCCAAAAGAAACTAAAACCGGATTATATCGCTTGCATATAAATACTCATAGAAACACTCCGTTACTATTTAAGGCTTATGGAAATCATTGGGTTTTAACTCATTGGTCAGTTGTTTTCATGACTGTTCTTGACTATTATTCTTTTTTGAAAGATGTCACTGATCAAGCCTTGTCTAACATCACACTGGGCAAAATAAGTATTAAAAATATGTTTGGTTTATGGCAATATTATATCTGGTCAATGTTAGTATTGGCCAATACTTTAAGCTGCAATATCTATATTGTATCAGCAGTGGAAAAAGTTGCCATGGTTATTGGAACACAGTTGCTGCCTTCCAGATATTTATGCTGATTCGCATATGCATTACAGGCAAGCGCAGTGCTGTTAAAAATGCAGTTTTTATGTGTCAGTGTTCTGAAATTTCTCTCTACTGCCATCTTTTAGTATGAAAGCTAAGTAAAGGTGCATCAAGCACCCAAATTGTGAGGAAATAGAGCAAGCTACGGAGAATAAAAACTTTTTAGTGATTCACAAATAAATTATGTAATCCTAGCAGTAATTGAGATCAGTACTTGCAAACAATGATAGTTCAAAAATAAAATGCTGCTGTTCACTATACTAAGTATTTCAATATCAAACTACTAAAATTCTGACAACCAAAACAGCGAAATAAATAAATGTGTCATGTGATTTGGTGGACAATGCAGGTCTAGAAAGTAAAAAGTCTGTGCAGTTTTTTCTTTGGCTCCACTACATAAATTTGGAGTAATCATCTGGTTAATCAAACAGGATGAAATAAAGTAGGTGGGGTTTTTACACTCTGAACCTGGATTAAATTAAATGTACCAGAAACCAAACAATGGTCTTAAACTGTAGTTTTTGTTGTCTGTCCTTGGTAAGTTAGAGTCAGAAGACTTTTATGTACTTGGTTTTTATAATTGCTCTATTTCCTCAGCAGGATGGTGGACTTTCCAAACATCATATAAAAGCTCTGGAACAACAACAGAGTTATAAAAAAAAAACTCTACTTCAGACAGGATATGGCACCACTGCAGTTTACTCTGATGAGTAAGAGGCGTCCTGAGGTAGGCCTACACAATAACAGGCAGAATAAGTTATTGTTGCAGCTGAGGCATAGTGTTAGAAAATAGCCGAAAGTGGATGCTAGTGTGTTGATGTTCGGAAATAACAAATCTAGCAAAAGCAATGTTTGTATTGAGTGATCTTTGTCAGCTAATAGTTAGCGCTCATAAAGGTTGAAAAAAATACACTACTGAAATGATAGGTGGGGGAAAGAATTACAGGGGGACTTGTGGAGTTGTGACAGATATAAAGCTGACGTCGCAACTTTCTGAGAGGAAATGAAAATAAAGAAATATGCAAGTTATAAGAAAGAGAATGTTAGGTTACAATTAGTCTAGTTCATTCTTGGTACAATTTCATAATACATGAAGGCATCACGTTCCTCTGTTCAAGAATTAAACCTAATTGTAAAACCAATGTGAAAATCATACAGTTATATTAAACCAAAGCTAAAAACTATTACTAAAACTGTTACTATTGTTTCATTGGAAAGTAAACATAGGCAAGTTTACCAAGCCGAAAGTAAGCTGCTGGAGGGACTGGTGCACTTAAACAAAAAAAAAGGTTAGAAGAAAATGTTATTTTGCAAATATAAAAAAAAAATAATCTTAAGATGAGCCAGAAAGCTAAAGGTTTTATGGAAACTGTTCTCTCTAGTTTATTACACAGGGGCCTATGGAAAATAGAGTCAATATACTAATGTAGTCCCCAAAAACTTTCTCATTAGAGTGGAAAATCTGTGTGTGAGCAGCCCACTAACCTAACTCACTTCTTAAACCAGTTCTGTTAGGAACTGGGCCACAACTCAATCGCAGTGTAGTTGTAATCTCCATTAAGAAGCCAGGTGGGTGGAGGGGCCAAGAGGAAGGCATCGAGACTGGGCATGACATAGGGCTTGATCTGGGACACACAGAGGGTTGGGTGAATCCACATGGGGCGGAGTAGTTAGAGTTTGACACCCACTAGGTTCAAGATCTTAAAGATGGGAAACGGGTCAAGGACACAGGGTGGCAAAGGTTCTCCACCTGAAGCTGAATTTGGTGGACAGCCAGACCTTCTGGTTGACCTGATAATCAGGGAAAGGAATCCGATGATGATTAGCATTTCTGACTTGGACTCCAAACACCTCGATGATGGCTCTTCTTGCCTTCCGTCAAACTTGTTGGCAACTCATTGTGGCAGCATGGGCAGATGGAACAATGGCCTGTCTCTCCTGGACTAAACCTAAACAATGTAAAAGGGTGAGAGACCAGTGGTGCAAGAAGGCAGCAAATGAATGGCATGCTCCACCCAAGGGAGGTGGTTAGATGACTTAGAAGGATCAGAGGAACATTGGATCCGGAGTTTGGTCTGAATTATAATCCTCTCAGTTTGGCCATCAGGCTGGGGGTGAAATCCACAGTAAAGGCTGAAGGAAACTACTGTACCAGCAAATAACAGAACTCCCTACAGAATCAGTGTATAAATTGGGTCCACTATCCAAAACAATGGTGGAATCCCATGAAGACGAAACACCTCCTTAGCAGAGATCTCCCCATCTCTTTGGTACAGGGGAGCTTCTTCGAGGGAATGAAGTAAACCGTTTTTTAAGAATCTGTTGTAGCTGTCCATTAGAAGACAGCAAATCTGTGACGAAATCCGTAAAGAGAGATTCATGTGCTCTGATATGAGATGATATGAGACAAGACTATTGGCACATGTAATGGGTCCATTTTAGGTCAGATTATTTCTGTAATGAGCAAGAATTAGGTCCCAGTAATTAACCAGAAACAAATAACTTGTAACAAATGTAATAAATTCAACAAAGCCAGCAGGAACAAAATCAACAGTGGGAACAGGAATATTTGAGTAAGAGAGATCAGGTTAGTGGCTGGACTGGATCTAACAGAAATAAACTCCATAACCTACTCAGAATCCAGGTGAAACAAGGAGAGAGTGTGCTTTGGTTCTACAACAGCGCTCTGAAAAGCACTTGGTTCAGTAAAGACACCACTGCTAGAGGCAGTGGGACAATCAGGAACTCTGAGGCAGATTCTCTGTCTTGACAACATAACTCATTGGTCATGGGACAGAAACAGAGTCAAAGCCGAGAGGTTAGAATCCAATGGAGGTATCTGAGGGGAAGGAGAGAATCAGTAGTCAGATAGCAAAAAACAGGTTGATTCTGACGAGGGTGAGTTAAAGGCATAGACTCCATGAGGCAAAAGCAATGTCAGAATCAGGCATTGAATGGAAACAAACCAGTTTATAAGCTGTTATAGTCCCTTAGACAGAGTTCAAACTGCAACTATGTCTACACAAACTCCACAGTTGTGCAGAGGATGTTTAGGCCCCTTGTTGTAGAAGAGGAGACACCTTTTGTTGAAACTTGATGATGAAATCTTTCTGGTGCAAAAAATATAGATATCCTGGGGCGGATGCCACCGAAGAATTGGTCTGGAATTTAATAATTTCCCAAGGAGGAAGAGGTTTAACTTGATGAAGAAGGGTTAACCAAGCTGAAGCACATTGAAAAAATAAACCTTATTGCTGAGACAGGATGGGAATGTTATCCTCTGCCATTGACAGAGTGCCTGCACTTCAGTCTCCACTGCAGCATTTCAGGGTCAGGTGAATCAAATTGAGACAGAATAAGAAGCGGTAAATTGATTTGCTGGCACACAGAGATATGAGTTCAGTAGCAACAAAACAATTATTAGGCTAGTCAGTGTTGGGAAATTAGATTCCGCTTCACCAAGTTTTTGATAAGAGGAGGTTTTTCTCCACTGTCATGTGTGGGGTTTTTGGGGTTTTTTTTTTCTGAGAGACAGAAGAACAAAATTTCAGTTACACTATTCCAAAAGGCAGGATGACTGACTATATAAACAATTAATACTGATGCAGCAATGTGGTGTGTTGATGATCACTGAATAATCATGACTACAG